CTGGTTCTGATTCAATTTTCAGCAACATCAAGATACAAGATCTAATTATTGTAAATTAACTTCAGACTCAGTAAGCTCCTCTGTAAATCTGTATTAAGTGCACTGATTTTGATAGGCTTCTCTGTCTTAACTGACATGCTCTGGAATTATAGCAGTGTAACTGAAACCAGAATCTGCTTATATCTGTATTGTTTAGATCTAGGAAACACTTTGTTTAGTATTTTAACTGCAGGAGATAACTACTGGCCATAGAGCAGTTTTCTGAGAAGCAACAGACTACCTGTTGAGGGTCTCTGTATGCTCTTAAACCTAAAGGCAAAACCTTATTATTATTTAATTTAATATTTTTTAAAATGCTATGGATATATTAAGAGGACCACTTGCATGTTGATACAAGACGGAATAAAGATCTTTTGTGTAACACCAAGAACTATACTTGATCCATGCTCCAAGTATTAGAAACCTACTGCCAGCAAATTCCAACACCTCATCCTATGCACAGAGTCCACCAAAATAATGAACCACAAATCCAAGATCTGCTGAAAGAAAAGATCTCTCATCTGAAATTGAGAGTGGGAGAGTCAAAAATCACTGTGATTTTACAAGCAAACAAACAGATTCTGGTCCCTGATGGAACTTAGTAAAATTCTGTCAGATTTCATATATACATATATATATATAATTTTTTTTTTAAGATCAGAAAGAGTTCCTGGATTTTTATGAACCTTCCAATGTTCAGGCCAAAGTTGCAAAACCTGAGAGGGAGACAAGGGGAGAAAGAAGGAAATTTGTGCTTTTTAAATTAGAAAACAAATTACTCTGTCAGCTGATGGAAAACTGACTGTGAGCCAGCAATGTGTGCTTGCAGCCCAGGAAGCCAACTGTGTCCTGGGCTGCATCAAAGTGTGGCCATCAGGTTGAGGGAGGGCATTCTTCCCCTCTGCCCTGTTCTCATGAGACCCCAGTTGCAGAGCTGTGTCCAGCTCTGGGGCCCCCAACGTAATAATGACATGGACCTGCTCGAGCAGCTGCAGAGGAGACCACAAAGATGATCAGGGGGCTGGAGCAGCTCCCTTGTGAGGCCAGGCTGAGAGAGCTGGGGGTGTTCAGCCTGGAGAAGAAAAGGCTCCGGGGAGACCCTATAGGGGCCTTCCAGTACTTAAAGGGGGCTACAGGGAAGCTGGGGAGGGACTCTTTATCAGGGCGTGAAGGGATAGGATGAGGGGTAATGGTTTTAAACTGACAGAGGGTAGATTTAGATTAGATCTAAAGAAGAAATTCTTCCCTGTGAGATTGGTGAGGTCCTGGCCCAGGGTGCCCAGAGCAGCTGTGGCTGCCCCCTCCCTGGAAGGGTTCAAGGCCAGGCTGGACGGGGCTGGGAGCAACCAGGTGTGGTGGAAGGTGGCAAGGGGTTGGAACTAGGTTATCTTCAAGGTCCCCTCCAACCCAAACAGTTTTATGATTTATTTTAACAAGGAGACGTTAGAAAACAGATGTTTGTTGTGAATCCAAACCCCATCGTGAAATGAACAACTCTTTCTGCTAATGCACACCCATGCCACACCTTCCACACTTTGGTTCAGAGTACCTGTTTTCAGCAGATGCCTTTGGTTGTCTGCATCCACTGTTCAACCAGCAGCGTGCCTTCAGCCCTAGAATCACACAAATGAGGGATCTATGTCACCCGGTAGCCTTCAATGCTGCAAGTGTTTTAAAAAAAGAGAGTGTTGCTTATTTGTTGTTGTTTTCATCCTCCAGATCCCCAAACAAGTCCTATATGACAGAAGGAATTCTCAGTCTGGCTGGCAGACTCTATGGCAACGCTTTGGTTAATGCAGTAAACTCAAAATTGCTAAGCTATTCCACCAAATGTTAAGTGTATGCAGGGCTGTGTGCACAGACATGGTAATGATACCATTTAGAGTGGAGAAAAATTTAAGAAAGTCCTCCTCTTTTGATGCTGAATAGATTCAGAAATCAATAACGCAATTCCAACACGAGATACTCTTTTTGGGGCTTCTCAAATTATACAAATGTCTGAGACTGCCCTGTTGAAAGTCACTAGTACTTGTTAGTGGCAGGAAAAATTATGCCATTTTCATGTATTCATATTTACTGTATCAATTCATAGTGACACTGTTTAAAATTCTTAGGTTTATCTCTAATTTGGCACCCAGTTCTGCATCAGATGTTGCCACATATTCATTTTCATTCTTTGGTGATCTTATTTCAATTTCTAGTATTTCTTCTGCATTTCCTTGACCACAAGCTGATCTTTTGATCTGTCTTGCATGCAGAAATCCATGAGTATCTGTGTATGCGTGTGTGTGTAACAAACTCAGCTGTTTTTCAACAACTGGGATAGAGATTGAGTTAAAGGAGAGCAATTAAGTCAGTGAGCATTTCCTTAATGTTCTTCCAAGTGATCTCTACTGTCTTTTATATACAGTTTACAGCAGCTGTGATCTGACTGAAGATCAGAACTTCCCTACTCTAAATTTATAGACAATAGAAAGCGTGATGAGGGGGACCTTTTGGGATTAGCAATCTAGATTATTGGGATGTTTTGCTATAATTGCATATCATATTTCTCCATACAGATTTTTGCGATTTCTGGTTTGCATTTAGAGATGGTTTCAACCATTTAAAGAAATTTCTTTGCTTAAATTATAAGCTGAAAGTCTCAGTAGCAATCACATAACATTTATTTTGATGTTTTTTTAGTTTTACAGACTTGTAAACTTTAAGATTCGCTGTTGGCTGCAGGCTACTAGTTGCCCAATGGAATAAATTGTGAAGATATGCGAATTTGACATTTTGAAGTTTTGAATATGAATATTGTAACTGATAGAGAAGTCTGCATTTTTGAGGTTTGAGCTATGTTTTCAGCATCCCATACCATACATGTCTTGATTTGTACAGCTTGGTAGACTCATCCAGACTGAGCAGCTGTCTTTTCTAGACCAGATTCAGCCAGCTTCTCAGTGGCAGCTGAAATGCCACTTATTTCATGCAATTTACAGGACAATTTAAATTGGTTTTCACGACAATTAATTTTAACCCAAGTTTTGCCCCTAACTTGAGATATGTGCCAACATGCTTACATCAAACAAAACTGGTGATTCTAACTCAATTGGCGTATGAATTGCAACATAAGCTACTATACCTTGTTGTTATCCAACCAAGTAGTCTGTGCAGCTCATTGTATCTGTGTACTTCTTGCACCTGAGTTGTCCAAGCAGGAGTCAAGTGCAGGTAAAGTTGAAGCTTACACTGGCACTAAACCAGTGAAATAGCCATTCTGTTTGCTTGGATGTTGGGCTAGAAAACAAGGGTGGGCTATAGTTCTGCCTGTCAGAACAGGTTCTTCAGCCTTGCTTTCTGAAAAGCTGTCTTCCTCAGCCATTTAACTGTCACACAGCAGTGCGATGGAGATAGCATGACAGGACAACCTGCCAATTATGTATTCTCAAAGCATGTTCAGTAAAACTTACAGGTAAACAATGACTCCACTAAATGTGAATACTTTTTAATTTTTTAAAACATACAAGGCAACAAAAAGATGCAATAAAACAAGTAGTAGCATTAAATGAAGCAGGGTGATAATCCATAAACTATATTCACCCCTGGACTGGGGCATGTGAGGGCCAGCTTGGCAGCCCCGTTCTGACAGACTAGAAATCCAAGTCAAGTGTGTTGACCTAGTTCATGTTAAGTATTTAATCTGACAAAACCTTTCGCCTTTCCCACAGCAGAGGAAAAGAGCACATGCTGAAATTTCAGTGAGGCCATGGAACAGGTCTGTCCAAATCTAATCCTTTTTTTTTTTTTTTTTGAGAAACATATTCAGAACCACACAATCTTGGAAATAACTTTGTAGCCTCTATTAAAAATTCTGAAATTCTTAAACTTATATCCACATTTAAGTAACAAGTTGATAATTAACAAGACTTAGATCAACTTAGAGTATAAGAAAAGTGTGTATTTTTCCTTTGGTGAATCTCTGTGTATGTCTATCTAGAGCTTTCTGTTGCTCAATGTCACAGAAAATGCAGCAGAAAACCTCGTGTCTCAGGAGTTTTTATTAAAAGTATATCCCTTTTCCTGTACAAGTTTTTCCTTCCAAGCTCTGTGAAATATTGTTTAAATTGTAGAAGTCACTTTAAGCATTAGTTAGATCTACTTCCTAATGTATGTGTGTTGAAATCTAGGGAATAATGTTGAGTTTATACTGGAAATTGATTAGCCTATACAAAATTCATTTGAACTTCATCTCAGTTTATTTTTGTTAAGGAAAAACCTCACCACCAGGCTATGGGCTGCATGTTGAAAGCAATAGGCAGAGCAGTGCTGGCTCGAGTTCTGCATCCTTGCCCCTTACTCATAAAAAAATGCAGCCTAAGAGACCCAGAGTCTCCTGTCAGCCCGTTCTTTCCTCTTGCCTGTGCCTCCAGTGTACAGTGCACTCCTCTGCAGCTCACACCCAAAGACGAGAGTCCAGCAGCAAAATGTTTGACTGGGGAGCAGGTATCTGAGGTGAGTTTGGAGGTCTCAAAGCTGTGACTGACACGTGGGTTGTGGCTGCACGTGAGGGTGAGCTGACATGCCCTTCCCTGGTGGGGGTCTGCAGGGTTTATGGAAAAGGTGATCTTGTGGGTGGTATCATGGTGAATGGCATTACCCACACCTGCTGGCTTAGGTTGTGTATCACTTTAACTGAACACTTGCAGTTTCATTCCCCCTCCCCTTGTTTTTAATTCAATGTCCTAGCTGAGAGAAGGGTGAGAAATTAAAGACTAAAAAACTAAGCAAAATGCCAACAAGAGAGGAGAAGACAGTGCTCTGCCAGGGCTGGCTGTATGTAGAAAGCGATGGCAATCATCCAGAAGCAAAGATGAAAGTCTCAAAGCAAGAAAAAAGGTAAAAGAACCAGCTGGGAAAAAGCAAACACATGAATGGAAAACACAGGTGTGACACCAAACCAAGGACCAAGCAGGTGAACCCTTGTCTTAAACAAATGCTTTTAATGTGTGTCTTAATGCATAATGTTGTTTGAACTGTAGAAGCAGAGTATGTGTGCTAGTAAAGTTAACAGTTCATGCCAGGTGTCAGTGCAGATGAAAAGATGACGTAGAACAATTTATTGCACTACCTCTCCCAAACAAACCTACTCCCCACCCCCATTGATACAAAAAATGAGTAAAGCTTGCAGTAGTTGAGTATTGTCTTTATTCCCCTCACTTGGAGTATCACTGATGTTTAAAGAAAACTAGCAATTAGTACATAAAACTTTACTGTTCTATATTATGCTACTTGGGCACTATGAATATGCAGAAATGGGGGGTTTATTGGGGGGGGAAGTATTTTTCCAAGCAGAATCACTGTCAGCACCTTCATTCTGGAAGAGTAAGTTTGGTTTTGACTCCGTTCTTTTGCAATTTTAAAATCAACTCATGCTAGCCATTCCAATTTGACATTCTTACTTTAAATGAAAGAACTGTGTGTTTGGAGGAAAACAAGTATTCTTATTAAAACGTTTTCATTAAGATTACAGATTATCCAAAGAATTGTCGGTCAGCCAAATCTTAGTAGGGTAATTTGTAGACAGTGGTAATACACATGCATTCCAAAAATATGTTGTACTTATGCTAGTATCGCTTAATAATGTTAATATGGTTTACTTGGTTGTTTCTTTGTGTGTCTGACACGGTACTTTTCCAAATAAAGAGAGCCCAAAGTGAGAGGAGGGTGTAAAAACCCACCTGCTGAACTATGGTCTACCAGAACCTACCTTTCTAGTTACACTCTGTATATGTACTACAGGTGACAAGTGTAGTAGATCTAATGGATTCCGTTTGAAGCTGAAACAATTAATGCCAGCTGGGATTTCTTAAGTCTACATAATATTAATCTTTCTAAGCTAAGATGACAGTCCAAGTGACATGACCTTTTTAAAAAGTATTTTTTAAGGAGTAAGGCAAGAAAACTGTATTAAGGTACCCACCTTGCATTCCTAAGTCTTTAGACATATGCTTGTAAGAGAACCCGCTTGTTTTTATCAACTACTTAATTAACTGGGGATGCTCCACAGCTGACTGTAAAATACCACAGTAATTTGAAAAGCAATACTCAAGCCTAGATTACCTGAAAGAAAAACTGAAAAGAGAGTAATAAAATGGATGTTTCTTATAATACACAAAATAGCTCAAGACTTTAGATTAAATGGTCACTGGGAGTCTTGAAAAGAAGTGAAGCAAAGTAGGTTCCAAGCTTCCTTCAATGTCATGCTTTCCGCTAAAAACATCTCCAAACTTCACTTTGTTAAGACCTCCAAATAACAGGTATATTGGATTAAGGATCACCTCATGAGGATATTACTCTCTTCTGTTTTCATACTAAAAAACTACTAGAGATCTTTAAAAACTTTTATGAATATTAGGCCAATGATTTCTAGGATAGATTGGCATATCCATAGATGTGCATGTGGAATTATACAAATCTGTAATAGTGGGGAGGAAGGGATGCTGCATGTTCCAGCACATACTAAATTCCTGCTCAAAAAAATGCTTTGTATTTTTGGAAATTACAAAACAAAGTAGTTGTTTACACCATATTTGCAAGTTCCAGTTTGTGGAGTAAATAGAAGTCAGTGTTTTAAAGGAATAAAGTTTAAATAAGAAAAAAACATAATTACTTGCTATATTAAGGTATGAATATTGCTTTAGAAAGGATGAAGTGCAAACTAAAACCATGCACATGGGCAGTAAGATGATGGCAAGACAACTAATTCCTTGTAAGCAGTATTTGTAAATAAAAGTTAGTCTATTAGTTGCAGTACGTTATTTGCAAATGCAAGGGATCAGAGATCCCTCCCCTGTATCCTTGCTATTTTCTCCATAGTTTTGCTGTTTTGGTATTTCCTAAACTGCAAAAGTTGGAACTTGACCACATCATCAACCTGGAGATCAAAGTCTTTACTCTTCACAGAAAAATTATTAACTTTGCAATTTAAGCATTTAACTTGATTGTGCTGTACAGGTCTTACATATATTGAAAGCTAAGATATCAGTGAGGATATTCAAGTTTGGTTTCCACATTGTTAAACTATGTGCTGGTTTAACATCACATATATGGCATCTAACAAACTGTCATAATAGCTTTTTCATTTAAATGAATTAAAAGCAAGACCCCTAGCAAAGAAAACGAGCATGCGTGGATAGTACTTATCCTCTATCAACCTAAAAGCTATTGCAACTTTTTGTATCCATTCTTTCTAGGAACAAATAAATTTTTCTTCTGCCTTCTCTGTGTGATCCTCCACTTGTTTCTATACATCTGCTTTTTAGGAGTAAGATATCACATTAGTTGTACTGCAGCATAACATGTACTGTGGCATAAAGCAGGCACATTCTTCTAAAGTAATTTATGGCCCTAACTTACGAGCAACAAAAAAATTGAATATTTAATCTGTCATTAAATCTGACAAGTTCCTTTATATCATGCCATTTGCATTGCAAACATACTAAGTCTTCATACTGGAAAGAAGTCTGGGTTCATCAGTTTAAGGGCCTTATCATAACAACTGCCAACAGCCATACTGCAAGGAGGGGTGAAGTTTAATTATTATCTGAAGTGAGGCACTAAACTAATGAACTGTAGATAAAAGCTTTATTTTTTTTTTTAAGGGACAGCAGGTAAACCCAAAAAATAACTTAGACCAGTGAGTAATTTTTCTGCATTGGGAACAGTTTACTCCTTATTAAAAGGGCTGTACAAATAGTCTTAAATTTCAAAGATGTTAATTCAAAGCCATCAAAAGGGAGGAAACACATTTGTAACTTCTTGTTGCCATTTTTCTGTGACCAATAAGGATATAGGTTACCAATACAAAAACCAGGAACAACCAGGTCTCTGAGCGACAAAAGAATTCCTTTCCTCAGATGTTGGTTGTGTAGGGATGCTAGCAGTGACTGCTGCAAAAATATTTTTAAAGAAAAGTCTTCTCGCTGTTGACCTTTATGCTCCAACATCGGAGGCTGTAGCTGGGTATTTGTAGCAATACAGTTTGTTGTCTGCACCTCCACTCAATAGCAACTAATGAGAGGAAAAGAAAACCATGATTAATATCAGAGCTAACCACAATACCTACTCAGAAGTTGAGGACTCTTGCTTTTATTTCCTTTGAAGACATAAAAATGAAAAATGAACTGTTAGTGCCTGACTAAAACCCAGAATCAAAGTGCAGAAGCAACCTTGTCTCTTACCCTCCTCCTAAAATTAGAAGCAGAGTTTTTGGAGGAAAATTTCTAAAGCTTTTCCCACCTTTTACTCAGAACAGGAGCCACACTGCAATCTTTAACATTAACAGAATGCTTTTTTCCCACTCCATACATGGGTGTACCACTGCAGTAGCAGAATGGCTTGCTATTGAGGATTATATAGTTCCCCCCTTCTACATGTACTGCCATGCCCCAGTTCTCAGTTCATGCTGCTGCTTTAGTCTCCATGGCAGCAAATGGTACCTTGGAATACATATTTTCTCAGCGAGGTGTGGTCTTGTTCTTGTGTCTCTCCTTGCTGTAATGCCCACTTAATGCTACAGAGCTTAAACTCCCTTCCTACCCCTTTGCACAGCAGCACGAGGAAGTGCTGCGCTACATATGACAGTAACACCCAGATACCAACCCAGTATCAACTAAAGCACAATTAAAACTTCCTGTTCTTTACTGTCTTTCTGCATAAAGGAAAAACTAGTCCATAACTGCTTTTAGACTTGTTCTAACCACTATGCATATAAATTGCTCTTTAGAGTCTTACCCCTGCTTCTGTCCAGTCCACACACAAAACCTTGTCTTCATGAGCAGCCAAGTCATACAGAGGAGCTTTGCAACTGGTAAAATAGGAGTATTTACAGTCACAAGTTTGAAGTTGTATCAGCAATCACAGAAAACAAAATTGGTCCCTGGAAGGAATACTATCACAATGCTAACAAACAGATGTGGTCTAGTAGTTATAAATACTTTCAAAAAATACAGATATTCTACCATCTGTAATGTTTTCTCTGCTTCCTCCAGAGCTGATCACATCAGTGTTAATCTTTCCTACATCTCCAAAGATAAAAGCAGCAACATTTTTCACTTGCTTGCAAACTACCTTGAGACTGAAATTTAGTCAGTCCTAACCCTGCTTGTTCGGAACAGTTTATTATATAGTTTCCTCCTTCAATGTGTGGATGCTGCTTGACTCTGTATGTTTTCCAGAAAAGCCATCTATGTCTTCTGAATGCATACCGATTCATTGCTTGGAAATTTGTAATGGGAAGTCTGAAAAGAGTATCAAGTGAAACTTCACACTGTTAGGCTCGTTCCTTAGAATAGAAGAATGGTTAGCAGACCTTCTGCTGCTCCTAATCCCAGTAGCAATGTTACGGATGCTGCCTTCTGCATGTCAGTCAGTGCTGCTGTTAATACCAGGGAAGTCCCATGTTGGAATGCTGTACAGCTCTCACAGATGCTAAGCCAGAGGTCCTCTGATAGACTACAAGTATTTTTCTCCCTTTTGTTATATGCTTGACTCCCAAAACCTAGCGGATTTTCACAAATGCCACAGGAGCTTCCAATGAATGTCTCAGACTGATTTTGCTGTTTCATTAGGTTAACTGACTCTGTAAGCTTACATGCCTTTGAACAGCAAAGAACGCATATTTATTTTACCTCCTCGTGTCCCAGAGCTTCACAATGTTGTCCAGAGAACCAGATATGAGCTGATGTTCATGGGTAGGTGACCACTTGACAGATGTCACCCAGCCTGTGTGAGATGTCAGAGATAGAAGAACCAAGGATCCATCTGAACAGAAAGAAAAACAGCAGTAGATGCCAACTGCAACCAGCACTTTTAAGATGCATACAATATTCCAGTGAGAAAAGGAGTCAGCCACATACTTGAGTTCAAGGTAAGTGTTTCTCCCACCAGTAATCCTAAATTAAAAAATCAAAATGAACTTTAAAGTAAGCAAGCAAGCCACGCAAGTTGGCGGTGGAAATGGACTCGAAAATGGGTTTTTTGGTCACTAAACTCTCTTTTCAAATATTTTTGAAAAAAACAAACCTAAAAAAAGCTTTTATTATTAACTAGTAAGATGGTAATACTGCTAAATGCTGTATTAGGCTTATAGAAGCTAAACAGGTAAACATGTCAATAAAAAGCCTGTGGTAGCTCAGTCTTAAATTATCCGCAATCGTGTCTGGACATGGCATCACTATATCATAACAAGGTAACTACTTTTTCGCTTTAATGATGGTCCAACCAACTTAAGCGTGAACCTTACAAAAATAAGTAGTTCAGGCCTGCAATTGCACAGTTGAACATTCATTAGTAAGTGGGTTTAAAAAAAAAAAAACAAAACCTAAGCTGAGCTAGATTTCTAAATTATTAGGTGAGAAAGCAAAAGTCTTGCAACAGATCACAGAAAACAGACGTGATCTTTGTATTTAATTGAAGGCCCCCAAATGTTTTTTTTTCAAGCAGAGGGACCAGAAAACAGTTTGTGGGATGTGTCCCAACAGGGAGAAGTTCTGATTTTGAATGAACATGCATGTTTTAGCTCACCTTTGCTGCGAGGATCCCATAGTCTAATATGTCTGTCAGTGCTGCCTGATGCAAGGCGTCGACACAGTGGTGAGTAGGAGACAGAATTAAACACTTTGTTTCCTGTCTGTCAGAAAATAGAATAGTAACTTTAAGAGAGAAGCTACTGTTTTGAACAACCTCCTTCTTTGAGCTGGACCTCAGCTGAACCTGCAAAGTATAAGGATCTCACCAACGTTGATTTGAGATTTCCAGTCTCAGCATCCCAGAGTTTGATGGTGTGGTCCCATGACGCACTGCAAATTTCTTCAGCATCTGACCACAGCACAGAGGAGACAGCTTCTGTGTGGCCAGAGAGGGTTGCCAGAGGAGTCTAGAATTTAAAGGTGAAAGATTAGATTGAGTATCATCAAAAAATCTATTCTTTCAACAAACTGAAACACATGTCTGATCAGCCCGAGACATAGCACCAGAAGTTTTCTTATAGTCACTTGTAACAAAGACAAATTATTTCGTGTGGCCACACTTCTAAAATAAAATCCTGGGCAGACCTGGAGCTCATCTTACCCTTGTTAGTCCCAGCTGTTCAGTTTTCTGCTTCTTCCGTGGTCTGTTTCCTGCTTCTTCCATTTCATCCTCTTCATCTGTTGGTACTGTGACACAAAACAGTCAGACTTGATCTAGAGGTTTTTGAGTTGCATTTCCATGTAAGTAATTAAGCAAAACCCTGTATTTACAAGACCTAAGCTATGATACATGAATATTTTAACCTTACACCTCTGATCAGATCCATTATCTCCATTGTGAACAGAGAAAAATGAATACAAATTAAATGCTGTTCTCCAGGTCATGCAGTTTTAAAATGAAGTCCCAATGAATTAAGACCATCCTTACGCATGGAAAATTCCAACATTAATTCAGGTGTGTTATTAAACACAGCCTTTCTTTTAGATACGGTACCTACGTATATACTCCCAAACTGAAAGATTATGACTTGAAACAGTGAAAGAAAGCATTCAGATCAAATGGGATCAGTCTACTTTTCTAGAAAAGATACCTTACTATCCTCCATATTACAGTGTCAATGACAGAACAGGAAAATAACCAACAAACTTTTGATTTGTAAGAAGTCTATACTCAAACCTGCACATTTATATAAATCCATTAAAAATAATCAAATTTATATAATTAAAAATAACTGAGATAAAATACTGTGTTCTGAATAAAATAAAACATCAGCATGCAGATGATAACCATATCTGAACTGGTGTTATCAACTAAAACAGTAAATATACTGATGTTTAGCCTTACAAAGCTTACCAAAAAAAAGTTCTAGCTTGCTTTTAATACTACAGACTCAAATTCTCTTAAAGAAAAAAGTATTCAGATACCCATCTTTCAGGTTGTTATAAGTACAGGGGTTTTTTTAAGAGAGCCAAGAATCCCAGATTTACACTTGTCTTACCTGCAGACCAGATCTTTAACATCTTATCCCAGGATCCACTGCAGAACTGTACGAACAGAAAAGTTTTGTTAAAAGTTGATCCAGACTGACCTTGTAAGCCATGCTAAGTACACTTCCTGAAAAATTAACCAGTAGGTTAACACATGAACAGTGCTAGGCTCCTCAAAAAAAAAAAAAGTTTGGCATAGATCAAATTATTCTTTACCCTTCCTTTGCAGGAAAAATATCTACAAAATATCTTCAAAAAACTTCAGCACCAGAAGTTTTATTTTAACCTCTGTGATACTGAGTCAAGCTGTGAGTGATGACTCTACATTTGCTGTTAGTGCTCTTGCTTTTTGTGGCATTAGAGGATAAGTGCATCACTTTGAAAAGATGGCCTGGCATTGATCTAGCACTCCTGATTCTCAATAACTATCCTTTATTACAAGACTAGAAACTTACCACTGTGTCAGTCATCAGAACATGATGACTAGTAATTATGCAGGGACAAAAAGATGATTTTTTGAGATACAGGCTGCTAACCTCCCAAAAGACAAAGGTTTCTTTCCAGGAGTCACTCACTTTAGTTCTTGTGCAATCAACAGCTATGGAGTCTACGCTCCCAGCGTGTCCCCTGCAGCAGTGAAGGGCTTTCACTTTGTTTTTCTCCACATTCCACTCCCATAGCAGGACAGTTTGGTCCATAGAAGCACTGAGTAACAGGCATGATAAACTATCTGAGGAAGAAAAAAAGTCATGCTTGCACCCAACTCAGCTTTCCAGTGTCTTTATAGTCTACATATAATTTTTCTAGTCAAAGAAGAAATAGCAGATCGATAGAAACTCATACTTATCTTAGTTTACATCATGTTACCCTGCAAGTACAATTAATATAAATACGCATACCAATATTTGCTAATGAAGACTGCAAGGTGGATGGATAGACAACACACATGTTAAACTAACTATACTCATTACTGTTTACAGAATGTTTTACTTGCACCTTGACTTCATCTCTAACACAGCTGAGAAATCAAAATAATTGTAGCATTTGGATAATTAAATATTCATGGTTGAGGAATGCTGACATTTCTCCCCCAATAAATCAAACTATCACTACTCTACTAATACATATACTGACCTTGCTTCACCCATGCCACATTCTTCACCACTTCTGTATGCCCAGCTATTGTCATGACGGATTTTCCTTCCAAAGACCAGATTCGAGCAGTCTGATCATAGCAGCCAGTTAATATCCTACAGGGTACAGAATTTGAAACATTATGGTCTTTAAAACCAACAATGTTTGTATGAAAAAAAGCCTCAACCAGGAACTTAGAAAAAATACTAGCGTAACAACTGGCTAGCTGAAACTGATTAAAAATCAGTTAAGATTTGAATGTGTTAAGAAAAGTTTTGAAAAGTAAAAAAATCTTTGTTACAGAGCAAAGCTTCATTAAGATCTACAACTGCAAGGCTAGGAGTGCAGGCCAAAAAGAAGAGAATGGGAGTATTGCATATTCTGGTAGGTGAGACTCAAGATCACTTAGGTCATTTAAAATAAAAGATAATGTGTTGTTCATGGTATATTACTGGAGGATCTCAAAGCATTTTCAAAACATTACTTAGTATAGGAACACTGCCTAATTGACTGGAAAATGAACATGAAAATATAGTAAAAAAGGTCAATTATTGTGGTGGGTTGTTTTTTTTTTTTTTTAAAAGAAAAGCTTTGCATAAAGGTACACTATTATATTTGTTGCTAATGAATGTCACATTTGAAGTCAACGGTTTAAACCAAAAAGGGAATCTTGCTGTCCTTTAAGAGAAGGGATAGTAAACAGCATTTGTATTATCAGTACCTCATGTTCAGTGACTAGCTGTTTCCTGCTTGTGTTAAAAGTTGCTGTCAGCACAAAATAGAGGTGTTAGAACTGAACTGCTTACAAAATCAAGTAGCTGACTCAACAGGTTTAAAAAACAAAACAAAACAACAGCTCAGAGTGAGGAGGGGTAAAAAAGCCACAAACAAAACAAACCCAGATTAGAGAGAAAGAGAATACCCCTCCATTTGACACCATGGAGACCTCTGCACACAACAGGAATAAGCAAGATGAGACTTAGAATTGGCTTAGTGCAGTACCATTCTTCAGTGGCTTGAACGGAACTGATCCAGTCATCGTGGAAGATGCATTCCTCTGGCTGAGGGGCCATATATTTCTCCACATACTCTATTTCCACCACTTCTTCCTGAGCTCACAGATAAAATACTTATTCAGCGTGCTTTTGAGGCTTTTTTTAATCAATCACAGTAACATTTAGCTGTAGCATGGTGCAATTCTATACGTTCATTGGGCAAAGATCTTGGTATCCAGGTCCTTTGCCACATTAGTGGAAGTAAAGTCTCTAGAAAAGTGAATTCAATTGCTTTCCATTTTTTCATCAAATTACTATTAATAGTAAGCTGGAAGCAGGAGCAAATCATTTCACTCTTCTCAGGTTCCTCTTCTTCTGTATTTACCTATACAAAACTGGTGTCTAAAATGCTTCATAACATTTTCTAGAGGTAATACTAACCTCCCACTTTATCCACCCAACATAATTAATAGAGTAGGAGACAAAAATATATTATCAACTGAATAAGATGAGAATTTCCCCTCTGTACTGTATCCAGACAACGGATTGGATAACAATGTTCCTTGCACTGCTCCATCCCATACTCTCTAATCTCTGCACTTTAGAATGGACTTAAACCTACAGGGAATTCTCCTGGGAAAGTCAGAAAAGAAATAAAACTGAGCAAGGAAATCTACCTAGTCAGGATGACAGTGTAATACCTGATTCAGAATTAAGTAAACCGGCTGAGTGTGTTCTACTGTCCAAGATGGGGAGAAACTGAGTGTGACTTACCGTGGAAATATTTTCCATTTCCATGTGTGTGACCAGCGGCACACGCAAGAACTGGCCATTGATAAGGAAGTCAAATTCCACATATTTGTGATCCGCTGAAACAAATTAGGGAAAACTCATGTTCAGGTGTCACTATTTATTTGACACCATCAACTGTAGCATCATTTTGTCACTTGTTCAGGCAAACGGACCCAGCGAGAGGTTAAAACAATAACAACAACAAAAAATCCCCAACAAAACAGTTGCTTTCTTCTCCCTAGTTGTAAGTGGGCAGCCCATAAAGTCCACAGGATTATGTGAGTTAAAAGAAAGGAAAATTTACTGTTGGGGTTCAAAGAGTTAAGTTTGCCTCTTATTGTTAGCACATTATTTTTAAAATCCTTTTCTCTGTAGCTACATCTAATCAAACTATAGTGCTCCTTCATCACTGTTCTGTATGGAGCTTGCCACTGCTAGCCCACATCTTTATCATCACTAGCTGCAGCCCTGTATTTGAGGCAGCAATAGCAAAATTCCAAGAATTTTTGGCTCATATTTCTCCCCCTGTAATGGCATAGTTGACCAACGGCCCCCACATTTTGACAAGAGCGTTGCATGGTGCACTAGTTTGCTATTCAAGGCTGTTTGTAATGACATGGGTTAAAAGCAACTTGCAGATGTCTCAGCATGGCAGACTCAGTCTAGTTTCTTATAAAAAGTGGGATTTTTCAACAACGTTGCACAGGTGTCTTTCCCCCTGAAATCTTTTAAGTCAGGCCCCTTTCAGCTAGCATTGACAGGATGCTTGTGCTCTTCCCGAACGCATTCATAAAAAGCAAACCTTTGGCTTCGTTAGTTCTTTTGCCAGGTTTTCGGAAACACCTTCCTCTCTGCTGGGGCAGCCCGGGCTGTGGCGCTGGGCAGACGCCCGTCCAGCCCTCGGCCCGTTTCTCCCGGGACGGCCCCCGGCACCGGCTGGGTTTCAGGGGAGCTCAGGGAGACCCAGACCGAAGCAGGAGCGCGGGGCCGGCCCCGGCTCGCCCTCACCGAGCGGCCCGGGGGTACCGGGGTGCTGCTTCGGACTTTGACAGCGCGTTTCCTCGGCCGGGCCCGCCTTGAGCCGTCCCACCCGCGGCACCGTGCGCCGCAGTCCGAGCCCGGTGGCGGGGCGGCTCGTTGCAGGGGCACCCCCCCCACACCCCACCGCCGCCCGGGCACCGCCGGCTCTGCAGAGGAGGCGAGAACGCCAGGCCGGCCCCTGCTCGGGGCTGCTGTGGGATCCCGCCTGGGAGAAGCGGCCGCCCGCCCCGGCACCTACCGCCGCCGCCCGCCAGCAGCTTGTTGATGAGGTGGCTGAGGTCGGTGGTCTCGGAGGCCGCGGGCACCGAGAAGGGCACATCCTCCACGGCGTACCTGCGGGCACACGGCGTCGTTACCGCCTCTGCGTTACACCCGCCTCAAACCCACAACCTCCCCGCCGCGGGCGCCCCACATCACCTGCGGTTCTCAGTACGGAATCGCGCCGTGACCTGCGCCATGCTGCTGCTGCCGCCGCCGCCGCCGGCCACGTGCCGCGATTAGCCACGCCTTCCCGCCGCCCGCCCCGCCCCTGAGCCCGCTACGCTCCGCGGCCGGCGGCGTGGAGACTACAACCCCCAGCATGCCGTGCGCGCCCCGACTCCCGAGAGGCCCCGCGCCGCCACCTTCCCGGCGCTCTCCGCGCGCCCCTTCCCTCCCGGCGGGCGCGCGTGCGCCGAGGGGCGGCCTGCATGGCGGCGCCCGCGGGAGGCGGGCCGGGGCTGAGCGGGCTCCTTCGGGCAGCGCCGCCGCTCCCTGGGGAGCTGCCGGCGGGCGGGACCTGCCCCAGGGCTGTGGTACGGAGCGGCGTGATGGGATGAGGGGCGGGGGGATGAGGTGAGCCCCGCTCCCCTAAGGGCAGAGGGCATTCTCCGTGAGGCGCTCGCGGGCCCCTGCGCCGCCCCCCACACCCCCCGAGGGCCGCCCCGCTGCACCCCCGGCCGGGTACCGGCTTTCCCGCCGTGGCGGTGGGCTGTTCCCCGTGGGGGGCTGCGGCGTTGCCGGAGCTGACGTGTGGGACTGACTCTTGGCTGCTGCTGGTGTCCTCTCGGTGTAACCCGGCTTGTGTTTCTTTGCATGTGAAGCGACACACCGTCAGTAAACTTCCCAACATGCAGCGGACTTTCAAAGAAGCCGTAAGTTAATTTGTTTTTTTTTGAGGTGAAGGGTGCTTGTGTGAGTCCCTGCTGTGTGCTTGGTTGATGTATATTTTTTTTCCCAGCCTTTTTGACAGTTAGTTGCTTGTGCTCTTTCAGGGAACAGCTGAGCTTTCCCTCTGCGGTGACTCAGGTTGGGGTAACTTGTTGTAGCTGTCAGGCGTTGAGTCTTGATGTTTTGTGAGACAGTGAAATCTCGTCTATTTCTTAAGTGTACTTAACAAATCTAACACTGCTTGTCAGTGTAATGGACACAGAAGCATTTTCCAGATACTTGTGCTAGCTACACAAAAGTGACTTACTTGAGAAACCTTGTAAATAGGAGTTCCCAGATCTTCTATGCGTTCTTCACAGTATCTGCCTGCTTTTCCATGGCAGAGAGAAACTAAATCTCAAACATGGTACAAGTTAATATAAAGCTAACTGTAATTGTATCACTCTGCCCTAATTTCATCCCTGTTATGTTTTACCGTAATTCATGCTCTTTATAACAGTGGTAGAGAAATGTCATCAGAGGAAGCTTTTTCAGAGAGGAGAGTGTTTAATTGTTGTAAGCTGTGCAATTATCTTAATTTTTTTTATAGAGCCTCTGAAACTTTTAATGGAAAACACTAAAAATATTGTTGGCAGGGCATTTGACTGCATGTATTTCCTGTAATGAAGTATAAATTAAAACCAGAATGGGGGATACTGCTGTAAAAAATGATAAAAACATGAATTTATGCAGTCAAGCTTTGATTTTTCTTTTTTTTTTTTTTTTTTCTTTTTTTTTTTTTTTTTTTCCAACTGGGTATGCATTGTAAACTTGAGGCTTGAAAAATGTGAGGGAATTCCATCCCTCCTGCCCTGACAGAGTACTCCTAGGTAGAATGTACTTATTATCACACTGGACTTACTTGGTTTTTTTACAGTTTAGTTTTTTTCTTATGACTAAAATTATGTTAGTCTAGAACTGCTGTGTTTTTAGGGACCACTGCTTGTAGTTGGTAGGTATAGTTATTACCATAAAATAGCCTGAGGCCAGAAAATACAGAAACCTAATACCCTGCCTTAAGGCAGGGCGGAGGTGTGACTGGTCAGTAATAGGATTTTGAAGTAATACTAGTTTGACTTTACTCTTAGTGTCTTTAAAAGCTTATATCATAAGAAACAGTATGTGGGCTTCTGGATTAGAGAGGAGATTCCAGCTGTTATGAGAAAAGTTCACCTCAGAATGGGCATTGAAAGCCTGTTCCTGTTGAGAGTTCCTGATGGTGCCCAAGTTGTGTCTGTGGATGACAGTCAGTGAGAACCTAGCACATGCAAGAGATGCCCCAGGCTTTGATAGCTGTATTATTGTGGGACTTGATGGCTAAATAAATCAAGATCTGACTGCTTGTTGTGCTTTGGTAAATGATCTTGAACTATCGGCGCGTTTGTGTTTGGAATTGAAGCACAGATGGCAATGTGTAGGCTAGGTTGCAGTGCATAGTGTTTGCTCTCTTGAAGATCCTGTCTGTAAGACTCTGTGTAAAATGCTTACGATGGTTTTCATGTTTGCCCGTGCTAGCAGTTTCTGTGGCTGCTTGCTCTCTCTTTGTAGAGTTGAACCAAGGATAACAATGGCCATAGATTTCCCTTTATTTTGAGCAGGGTGCTTCCCAAATAGAGGCAGAGTGAAGGTAGCAGTCCTACAGCATTAAAATATGCTAACTCTTGAGTTGGAAACAGCCCTGGAGTGGTGGACTTCACAGAGAGCAGCCTGTACAGTAGTTTGGGTGGAGCTGAGCTAAGGCTGAGGCAGAGCGAGCTGCCTGTTTGATATGTGCACTGAGGATACAGCTGTTGATACCGTTTTACACTAACGTTAAACTCCCACATTTCTCCTTCAACCGACTGGTAAATGTGGGATACAATGGTGTTACACTGGAAGTTTCTATGGCACTTACGTAAAGTATTTATGAAAAGAAGAGATACTTGTATGTTGTTTACCCATTCATGACAAAATACCATATATATACACATATACAGAATTTAACGGTCTTGTTTGGGGAATTTGTTAGTAATATTTATACAATTATAAAATTTATTAACTATGTATGTACTAGTAAGTATCTGCAAAAGTATATTTCTTTAGGACGAAAAAATGTTTTTTGTTTGGGTTTGCACAGCACTGAAGTTAATGAAACTTGCATGGTTAAACCAGGAAGTTCATTGTCTGGGGTGATTCGCGTGCCAGTGGTTTACCTGGGTTAGAAGAGTGATTAGAAAAAGTCACAGGGCAAAAATGTACCAAGGGCAATTTTTAAACACAAAGATAAAACTTCAGATATTTCTGGGTTGCTTATAAGAGGAAGCTGGATAAATATCACTGTGTATTTACCCTCCTGCTGTCATTTTTTCCCCCGAGCTTTATTATTAACCAGTGTTAGATACAGGATATTGGGCTACTTGGGCTGTTGGTCCATCCAGATACAGCCGTCCTTGTGTTCTGTAATCAAGTTCCAGCACACTCAGGGTAGGTGCCACTGATATCCCTGGAACAAACTTACTTAGTTTATCTTGCAGTATTAAATGTGCTGCTTGGCAAAACTGACATATCTTCTTTCCATCTTTTAACTGAGGGGAAATGGTTTAGTAATGATGACATCTTGTCTTCTGTCTTTTTTTTGTTTGCTGCTAACATGCTTCAGATGTTCTAACTGAAACATCTCATAGTTGTTCTCGGATCCAAATCTGCAAAATATTTGGTAAATGTGATGTAACTTCATTTGGAATTCAGTTTGGAGTGTCATCACTTGAAAATTGAATGGAAAAATAAATCTGCTTTAGATGGAAGTATTTAGTATATTGAGCATATGACCAGCTTAACTTCACAATGTTGTTTGTATCAGCAGGATGCTTTATTCAACTTCAAAAGCTGAGGAGATGTGGATTCACTTTGCCTGTGGTCCTTTATATCTTTGCAAAGTAAAATAAATTTGCTTTCAGGGTTGTACAGTTCTTTCTAAGTGATTCTCTAGCCTTTTACGTTCTCCATACTAAACCTGTAAATGGTTGAAATACCAGAGCCAAGAAGGTCCTTCTCAAGGAATTTACTGTGTGGTGGGGTGAAGAAGATAAAGGTGGTAGGAGTCTTCTGCTGATATAACACTGTCTGTCTTTAAAATAAATAATGAAGGGGGAAACGCTGAGCACCTTTCCCCTTCCCTCACCCCAAACTGCAGGAATTAAGTTTTCTTCTATTTAGTTTGACATATTATGTGTGTAGTCTAAGTATATAGAGATACTGTAGTAATGTAGGCGCCAGGTTAATTTGTCATTTTGTCATTGCTTACGAATAGTTGGGGTTGGTTACCGCTTTAAAGGGCGTACTGTCTGGGTGAAAGCTTTATCCTGTGGATGTGGCAATTCACTGTTGAATATTATCTGTTTGCTTGAGGGTTTATAGCGGGCAGCTGAGTTCACTGGAATAGTTTCCTTTGGGATAGGAGATAAATCTCTGAAGTGCTGGGAGCTCTGTCTTTTTCTCTTTCAACAAATGATTCATTCCAAATTTTGTTTTGGATATCTGGAATTTTTCCTGCCCAAAGCTTACTGCTGTAAACTACCAATAGTAATTTCATTTGTATGTTGTTTTATAACCCTTTGAAACAAATGTAATTTACTTCCAAGATGGCTGCATGACAGAGTTGGGTAACACAAATCCTGTCTGTTGATTATGGAAGCAGATGAGTAATATTTTTGTAGAGCAGTGCCGGCATATCTTTAAATATCAAGTGTTCTCTAGATGTGTATGGTTGGTGGACATATTAGTGCTTGTGGACATATTTAGATGAAAATAATGAGAGCGTGTATGTGTGTTTTATATCTTTGTGTACAATGACAAGTCAAGCAAATTGTTTTATACAAGTGATAAAGAGGCAAGGATTTCTTGAGTGCTTTGCTGTTAGCTTGCAATGCCATTAGAAATTCTAAGAATAAATTTGTAAAACCAAAAAAAAAAACTACTGCAACAATGTCTTGGTTGAGGCTAAAGTGTGGAAGGCTGAAATAAACTTTTGTAAATTTTTCAGATCATTTGGCAATGGAAGAAGATGGAGCTGACCATGCCATTGCTATGGAAGGATCTAATAATTTGTTCATAGGCAACTCTAATAGTACAGGAGAGTCGGAGACAAATGATCAGGTCTTTCAGGTGAAGTATGAATGTCCTGTTTTTGTAGATGTTTTCTGTACATCCTCTCTGATGAATTTACAGTATGATATTTCATCAGTGTAGGTATTTCATCTGTGTAGGTATTGGGGAAGGGAAGACTTTAATGTATTTATTATCAAATATTGCCAGATATTCCTAGTCAGAGAGATTTCTGTGTATAAATGTTCTTTTGCAAATTACTTCAGCTAACATAAAATATCATTCAGCTAACAAAATATCATGCTACTAAATCAAGTAGTGTGCTTATGTTCTTTACACATTATCTTTAACATAACTACTGCCATTCATTTGTTTCTGTTTTTCTAGTGTAGTTTACAATAGACAGTTTCAGCACAGAAGATTTATACCTGCATAATTTTTGAGAAGGTTATTTGGCCTAGGTCTGTCTTTAATATAAAATTTAGAAACACTTTTCCCCACTATTTGGATTTGTAGATTGACATTTTTGCTACAAAATTTTGTAGAGTTGTGTGATTGCTGCAAGAGATAAAACAAATTTCACTACTTGCATTGGCCAAATCACAGTCTGACATATCTCACACAAGAGCTGCCTACTTTCGATTATTTTTATGTGTTTAATATTTGTGTTGTCAGAGTTTCAATGGATGGATATTTATGTTTAAACATTTAAATTCAATGAAAATGGGATCTGCTGTAAGAACTTGATTATGCAGGCTTGATGGGAATGAGCTCTGAGTACCTATGTTTTGAGACTTGCAAAATCCGATTCTTGGTCTTGCACTGTGTAATTCTGGGACTTGAGTTGGTGGGTTTGTGTTGCTTGTGTTTCTTCTGTGGTAAAGAATTAAGAAAATGTACAGAGATTTTTGTCTTCGTAGCTAGATGCATGTATCTAAAGGCCAAGTAGAATAGTATCTAGGATTTCTTTTGAAGTCAGATCAAGTTGGTGGATATTTTACAGGTGGGTTTTTTTGGTGTAAGTTCTCTCAGTTTCTGGGTAGACTTGAGATGTTTTAAACTGATGAGTGGTTTTGGGGAACAGATTCTGGGTGCAAGGGATTTTCTGTCCCCTTAGTAGAGAGAGTTTGTTCTAGGAAGCAGAAATACGAATACATTTTCAGCATGGAAATGGAAAACCAAGATAGAACTGGTAGTGTTCACTAGTCTCTTGATCAGAAGGACAAGAACTCCCTCTGAGTATACAATACAATACACTGGTTTCGAGTGTTCTTTGTTGTTGTTGTTTTGTTCATTTGTTTGTTTAAATAGAAATCGCTACTCAAGATTAAAGTGCGTTTTGCTGTTTTTCCTCCGTGAAAGCATCTAACCTGCATGGATCCCCGGGACGCATTGTTTGGACAGAGGGACTCTCCCACGGGGTTGCCCACCGCAGTAGGCATCTCGGGCAGTTCTCCCTCATCGGCTGCTCCCGCGCGGGCTCCCCAGCCGCAGCCCCCCTCCGCGGAGGAGTTCCGCCCGGCTCAGCAAACTGGGCAGCCCCTCTGCGAGCTGCAGCCCCTGGCAGGGCCCAGCGCGCCCATGGTGAGTAAGGGTGAAACGGGGCGGGCCCTGGATTCACAGAGGAGGGGGCTCTTTTACATGGCGCTGCGTTGATGTAGCAGCAGCTGGTTCAGACTTTAGCAACAAGGTGAAACCTCTCGGTGATTCAGTTCGTGCTCCAGCTGCCCTTCCGCGGGTAGGCAAATCCTGTCTCCAGCCTTGACTAATTCTATTAAACTTACGTCTTTTATCATTATCAAGACTGGATGTTACTGTGTGATGAGAACTCGTACTTCTACCACTGCTGCTTTCTCTGTGTTCTCTGGATAAGCGTGTCTCTGGTTTTTTTGAGGAGGGATTAGAACGTCAGCAATAAGCTAACCCATTATGTCTCTCCCCCCCAGACCCTCAATTAATTTGTTTAAAACATTGCTCGGTAATTCTTAACACTTATTTTATAAAAAGGTAACTCACCCAGAGGGTTTGGTTGGCACTAAAGACACTTCACCCATTTAAAGTGTAATAAATCAGAAACAAGATAATATTTTATGTTATTCTGGGTTTTATAATGTTGTTAGGAACAATTCCTTGGTAATGATGGGAAAATTTACCATAAGGAGTTGTTTGAGTGTTCCAGAATTCTAGGAGATTTAATTTCTTTTTTTTTTTTTAAAGTCTTGGAGCTTTTCTTCTGTCTGCTTTTGCATAAAAAACTGCCCATAGAGGTCAGTTTCTTAGGAGTAAAAGTAAAAATTTTTTTGTTGTTATTAATTCTGCTAGTCCATGAATGGGGTTTCAGTGAATCCAACTATGAATAGCTTTCAGGTTTTTGACAGCTTTAGTAAGTGTTGTAAGTTTCAAGTAAATGTGTAATTGATTGTAGAATCCCATAAGGTGGTTTGTTGTTTTTTTTTTCCTCTCTTCCTTCAATTAAAGGGCTATTTTAAAAGGGGAAAGTAATTTTAAGAAATTGACAGTATATAGGCAGTTCCCTTATTATGTGAAATCAAGTTAATTTACAGGCCCTAATTCCAACCAAAATATTTCCTGTTTTGGTAATAAGCAAGCCCAGTCCTGCTGCATGATGATCACCATACAAATTAGTGCCGTTCATGCTTTTGTGTGGTTGCATTACAGATGATTGTTGCCAGCCAGTCTGAAAATGGGCAGGTGCTGCATGTCATTCCTTCTGCCCAGCCAGGAATGGCCCAAGTGATTATTCCTCAAGGTCAACTTCTGGATGTGGCCAGCACGCAAGGTGAGTTCAGCCTGTGAGTCTTGAGGATATGTGTTCCTGTGACTACGCGTATCGTGCACGATCTCTTTTTAAGCACCTTGTTTGTATGTGTTTTCTTTCCTCAGTCAGTTTTAAGACAAAAATACATACTTACTGAATCTGCTTTATGATCATGAATCTGGCACCCCACACACCATGTTTTCTGTTGGGCAAAAGCCTTGTGAAATAAGAGCTACTGTGCTGACTTTAGATACGTGATGGATAGAGTGAGATACTGAGCACAAAGCTGCTTCTCACCATATTTACTGTGAATAAGAATGTGTGTGCCAAGTCAGACAGCTGTACCTATCAACTTAAAATTTTCACTGTCTGTTTACTTCAGTTTCAAAGTAGTAGTTAATTCATGTAATACATATAGAAGAATTAATGTTCTGGTCTGTTCCAGAGATCACTGGTAATGATGCATCTTTTGTGAAGCCGGGAATGACATACCTAGGCAGAAATTCAGTTCCCAGTGAAGAAAATGAGATGTGACTTTCACTTCATTGCTAAGTTTTTTTTCCCCTCAGTTTGTTAATTGTCACATTTTAAGTATGTGGTGAGATGCATAGCTAGAAGCACAAATTCTAAGCTTTTCTCTAGAAAAGGGACATACTAATATCTGAAAGCATTGATTATTTATCTGCAAGCCTTGCAGCGTGGCAAAATGCTGTGTACTAGTTTGCATTCACAGAATAAGACTGAGAACGAGGTTGCCACATTTTGTTAAACTCTCCGAGGTTTTTTTTAAACTGTTTTTTGCATTTTCTGGATAAAATTCTCAAAATCTGAACAAAATCTCAAAATCTGAGCGCTAGTTAAGCGCTTCTGTGGAATGAGAACTCGGAGGTAAGACTAGAGACCTGGTGCTGGCTGAATAGAAAAAAAAAAGAGTTGGTGTTTAAGTCACAATCCAGCCCTTTTCACTTACAGTTAGAGTATGATTTCACAACCTTGCATTGAAAGGCTTGCTGTTACCCTAGTACTCATCCTTCCCTCCCTCTCCATCTGCTCTTGCAGGGGTAAAAATCATTCTTTGGTTACAGTGTAGTCTTAGGTGACTTTAAGATGACCATGAGCCTTTAGTTACTAAAAAATTGCTGCTACTTTTTTTAGGCAATAAGTTGCAATACTGGATAGTATTTTTGTATTCCCATTTTTCATCCTGCATGGGGCTCCCTGTTTGCAAATAGCTCGTTTTCACAGTATTTGAATACATGTTCTACAACAGTGCTACAGCTTTTTTGTGGGTTTTTAGGTGTTTGTGGTTTGTTTGTTTTTTTTTTTTTCTAGAGACTTACTGTGTAAAAAGACTTTGTAGTTACTTGATCTTCCAAAGACGGTTAGGAAGACTTGTCAGTGGTTTACTATGGAGATTAAAGGGGAAGGGGAATGGACTGTCAGCCCTTGAGTTTCACTTGACTGCACGTGGTGGTAATGCATGAAATGGCACAGGCTTCAGAGTAGACTGTAGTATCTTAAGGGCACGACTGCATGGAAGGAACCAGTGCTCCAAACTTTAAGCCAGAGTGGTGTTACTCTACTTCTGGCACAAGCTTTCTAGTGGAGTGATTTCTGTACTGAGTCAGTAGCTTGTCACTGTGGGGGAAAGAAGCTTTCATAACTGAAGGGGAAAAATCTGCATCTAGAGAGAGCTCCCTTTTCTTTAAGTTGAGACTGAAGTATCAAATGTCTGCTTTTCCATTATGTTTCTGTTTAACTGTACACACAGGCTTCAATCTAATAGTATTTTTTTGACTTATGGATGATTGTTCCCTGTTCTCAAGAATGGCTAAAACGTGTTCTAACGCCAGATTCAACTACAAGAGGCCTGTTTTTCTCTTGTTTAGGTGTTCTTTTCTAAGTACAAAGCAGTATTATAATCTCATTTTATTTTATAAGGAACCAGTGTGTGATTTGCAGCTGAAAAAATTAGTTGTACAATCCTATATGGATCTGTGGAAATGTAAAGCAGAGTAATGGACAAGTGGTTCTGCTTATTTGCTTTGTTGTGGAAGGATTCATTAGCAGTAGCATGATTACCAAAGTCCTTGAGTACAAACAGCCTTATCAAGTGTGTCTTCATATGCGTGCCTAGAGTTTGAGTATTGATTCACAACTATTAAACTACTTTATCATCTAGAAATCTTATATGTCAAAATGCTTGGTTTTTTAACACACAGTGTTTAATCATCGCTTGTAATTTCCCCATTCTGAATTCAGTTATTAATCAGGAGGCTGTTTTATTTTTACAAAGATGTTTCAGAAGAGAAGTGTGGTGATGGGAACTTGCAGACCGTGGCGGTGGCTGCTATAGCAGACAGTGCAAGCAGTTACATTCTGCATCCACAGGCATCTCTCACTGTATCAAAAAAACCAATCACCAGGTAGGTCAGGGGTTAAAAGGATGGACAATCACTTTGATCCACTGTTAGTATTTCCTTTTTTTTTCTTGCAGTTTATTTTTACAACGGTTATCAGAAAATTACTATAGAATGGAGATTATGAAACCTTAATATTAGTGAATTATGTGTAGCTAATTGTGTTTGCTGGCAGCTTTTGTATGTGCCAGAGCAGTGGAAAAAGCAATTAAAGTACCTGTATTCTGGAGATAGCTGGATATATTCTCACCAGAGCAGTAGGAGTAACACAGTGCAAATTACTGAACTTACTCCAAATAGATGGTGATACTGCCAAGCAAGAGTTGAAAGTGATCCTGTGAAGGAACTGCAGGGAAAGTAGAAGTTTGAGGGAGCAAAGTTTCTTGTATGAGTATATTAAAACCTATATGAACCATCCTCCCTCAAGAAGAGTTGATTGTAGAGATAAGTTTTTTAGATAGAGATTTCAGTAGTTGGTGTTAACAGGAAGACTCCAGTCTTTCTTCTCTGGGTAGCTTCTTCAGCTTCCTTTCATACAATATGAGAAAGCAGCTGCTAGCAGTGTTCTTTTGGTGGAACACATAGACAAGCAGATTGGTTACCAAGTTTCTGAAGTTAAAATAGCTGTTAGGTTTTTCTCCTCTTGATATCTACCTGATTCTGTCCCAATGCTAGATGTTGCCTACTATTTTAATTCCTGAATATTCTGGAATTCTTCTTTGTTTATATAAAAAAAAAAAAAAAAAAACAAAACACTACAAAAACCAAACCAACCAACTAAAACAACAAAAGATAAAGTAAAAAAAAAAAAAAAAACCAACAACAAAAAAAACCCAAAACAAGACAATGTTTGCTCTGCGGATTGCAGACTGGCTTTGCATTGGTTTGTGCTCTTTTGAAATCAAGATGTGAAAGAGATTAGAGTAATCTCACTGCAGCACAAATTATTTATATTCAAGAAACATTTAAAATTAAGAGAAACAGTTTGTGAATGGATTTTGTGAACACAGTGTGTACATGTTTGAAAAATAATTCTGGAAAGGAGATGTATTTGTGTGGACAGGAGGTGATGCACTTGAGTTTTGGAATAAAAAATGTTCAGTAAAAGTTGTTTCTGCCCCAGGATTTAGGGAATGGAGAAGCTAGATACTTAAAATATTGCAGCTGTTTTTTAGTAATTTTAAATATACTAAAATGTGCAGCATTTAACAAGTGTTTGGTGTTGGTTTTAATCTTTAGCATTTTACCATCAATATGCATAAGAAAATTATCAGGACAACTGGTCTGTTTCACCATGTTTTGTCTATTGCTGTCAAGCAACAATACTGAGAATACTGAATGCTTAGAGGTCTTCCTGAATGTAGAAAACAGTGGGGATTTTAAATAGTTATATTTACTGTGAATTATTTTAACCATTAAATAGAATATATACATAATGCACTGATCTGGTATGTTACCTGTAGTTTAGACTAAATTGTTGCTTTCTTGGATGTCTGTATAGACTTCTATGTTTTTTTATTTTTCAGGGTAGTGGAAGATCCCTTTCCCATCCCTCTCCAGCCATTGCCACCAAATACACCTGCATGGGCACGCCGTCTCAGGAACTGTGAGGTGGGCTGCAAAGAATTCTGACTTCATGTTGTATCATCTAGATCTAAGATACTGATCTTATTCATAGTTGTATAAGTTGTGCTCAAGCTTCCTGGTATTATGAAATATTATTGGTACTAGCTGGTACTGCTAGCACATTTAAAGACAAAATTCTATGGAATCTCTTCCTTTTTGGGGAGTGCTAGAATAGCTGGCTGTCAGCAGCAGCTCCTGAAGGAAGAAATGTGCTTCTGAAATCTTGATGCCATGCAGCATTGGAATAAGCCATTGTGTGCTGTGTTAAAGTTCACTCTTGAACTACAGTGCAAGGTCTGCTGTCTTCTGCTGTGCAAATTGGTTTTTGTTGCCCTTAGTGATCCATTAATTAAGGAATAAAATTGCTTTCTTATGGCCTGAGTCTGCAACTGTTCATACTAGTTTGTGTCGTCACGTAGAAATCAAAATCCATGTGACTCGCCAGGGTCAAGTCTGGAACCTTAATGAGTACTTTAATGTCAATGTTTTACTAAGGATTTGTATTTTAGATAGTCTCACAGATTTTTTTGTTTGGGTTTTTTTTTGGTTTGTTGGTTGTTTTTTTTTTTTTCTTTTTTTGTACCACATGTTTACTGTGCTTGTTTTTGTTTTATTTCCTGTGATGGTGTTTGACCTAAACTGAGCTCCTTTTATTTGCATATTGTTAGATGTCTGCAGAACTTTCCCGATTACTGGGATGATATCAACAACTAGAATGCATCATAAATCACTTAAAATGAAGGGAGGGGGTATGGGAGGGTTCCTGAGAGATCACCTACCCCTTCTTCATGCTACCAGACTCTTACTGGTAGTTGTTTATTTTACTTTCTCAATACTTATTTAAAGGAAAACTCATACTCTTTCTAGCTAGTTCACCTCTTCAGCTATCCCTACCATTTGAGGTTTTTCCCATTGGCTTGGACACTGATAACTGGAAATTGCAGTTGCAGGGACTTAGAAATTTATTTTCTTTCTGTATCAACTTAAAAAAGATTTCTAAATTAACTAGATATATTAATCGATTCCTCTTTTTATGTCTTCTATTTCATACAAATGGTACAGTTGACTATTATATCTACTTAAGAGATCAGAAAATAAGTAACAGTAATTCTTCCATGGTGGAGATAGCATTTACAGAATTATGTAATTCAATTGGCCAGTTAATTGTTAAAGTCCAGTAAGATGTATAACCCTTACTTTACTGTGTTTTAAGCACATACTTTCCTCTCTAAATAAACATGTAACTTACCTGATTCATTTAGTACTGGTTTCATTTCATATCAGGACTTGTATTATGATCTGCTTTGTCTATCTGAGTCTATTACGAGAAATTTCACCTGCTGTGTTTAAAATTCACAGCAATTATAGAAAAATTCTTATTTTTAAAGAACACAAAATCAAAATATTGTTGTTTAAACGTGTTCTGAGGATATAAAAATCTGCCTCCTCTGTTCAGCAGAACTATTGCCTGTATGCATTAATCATCTTTGTTCCTTTAAAAAAAAAAAAAAAATTTTGTTGCTCTTCTCCCTGCAGAGTTGACCCATCCAAGGAAGAGAAACCCAAATTCTCTTCCTCTTTGCGTGTTATCCGCAGAGTTGCTTTGCTGAGTTAGTTGCATGGTGTAAATTCACTGGAGACTGCTGGGATGCATGTGCCTTTTTGTGGGCACTGACTAGAGACAATGGGATTTGATTGTCTTGCAGAATGTTTTGGTACTAGGAACAGGATTGAAGGATCCAGTTGGAATTTGGAGATATAGTAAAGGTGCAGATAAACATGGCAAGTCACGATTCCACTCTTTCAGTTGCCTGCCAGAATAGAAACAAACTTAAACACCACTGAGGTCTGTGTGATTTTTGCAAAGGTGGCAGCAGGCGGAGCCACGGCGCGGCCTGGGTACGTGCTGCCAGTCGTGCATCCCAGGGCACGGGCCAGAACTGGACGCTGAAGGGCAGTAACTCCTTTGGCAGTTAGTACTGCAGGCAAACACAGAGCAGCCAAAGCTGCAGCTGTCCAAAATTAGCACTGAACTCCATGTTCAGTGGTGGTTCCCTGACTGCCTTGAAATGTTCAGCTCACACTTGCTGTGCCTAGACAGTGTAATGCCTCCAGTATCCTGCTGCTGTTAGTTCGCTCAAGGAAAACTGCAGTCTTGATGTGTGTACTTTAGTGTAAGCTTTTATGTACCCTTGCTGAGATGAAGCTGGTGGGGGAAAAGGAATTGCTCCCATTTTTGGGTTGAAGCTTGGCTGGAGTGAAAGGGTTGGAGGGTAATGACGTTGTTACATTAACGGTAATGACGTTGTTAATAAAAAGCGGATTTAAAAATAAATAGTTATTTTCTATAACCTCCTTAGTTTTCAGCGGTCTGATCAGAATGCATTTCAAGCATGTATCGGCATACTGAAATAGTGTAATTAAAAACTGCATTAATTAATCAACTGTACAAACTAAGTTCATTTACTTGTGTGGAGCAGATAGTCTCATTTGCCCATGTGTTCCTACTTAGGAAACTCTAGAGAGCAGGGATCCTATGTGCTGTATGATTTTTCTTTCCTCCTCCTCCCCTCCCACCAATTTTAAGAAAATTATCTATCTTGTGCAGAAGTAAAGCCAGAATAGGAGTCAGTGGTTTAACTGTTATTGCTACTGTTCTGGCACAGCAGTTTTATCAGTCTTATCTCCCTAGAATAAGGTCAATGAACTACTTATAGTGACAGGTATAAGATACGGAAAGAAAAATGCTGGTCATGCAGTATGCACTGTGTGGAATGGTGCTGTAATCCCTCTTGTGAAGGGGGCATCCCAGGTTTCTGTAAAGAAGGTACTTCTGGTACTTCTCAGGCTGCTTTGCTTCTCCTGGATTTTTCAGATCAAGTTTTGGACAGAAATGTTATTTATAATTTCTGGCTAAACAATTGCCAACTTCTCTTCCTCACCACAGCTGTATGAGTGCAGTTGATGTAGACTTTCTTAACTGTTGGAGCAGTGTGCTTGCAGTGCAGTGAGCTGCTGAATTGTAAGCAACTGATATCTTGGAATGACTCATGCAGCTGGTGCATTCATAACCCTCTGCTTTTGGGTTTTGTGCTAGCAGCAGCACCGTGCTGGCCCAGTTCATTCACGAGGTGGTCATTTGTTCTTCATTGTCTTTTGGTCTTGCTAACCACAGACATTTTGTTTTTCCTAGGTGACACTGAGGCAGGTTTTATGCAGCTGTCACTAAAATATTTGTGTGATAATGAAGAGACATTGTTGCTGCTTTTGTTGTCAGTATTATTTAAACATCTGGCTGCTCTATCATTGAAGGTGGCAAAACAGATCCATCAGACTTTAGTACTCAATCACCATGTGTTTGCCCCACAGATACTGAGCTGACAAACTACTCTGGCTGTTACTTCCAGCTCCTTGGTCAGTCTGATCTGGAGCTGCGTGTGAACAGAACGTTCAGACGGAAAGCCCTTCTCTGTCACAGTGCTTTCACTGCTTGCTGGCTGGCCCTGGTAGACCAGCACTGAACCAGCTGTGATGGCTCTGAGTAGCTGAAGCTGTCACAGGGGATGTTGCAAAGTCAGCAAGTTTGTGGGGGTTTTGGTGTGTGTTGTTGGTTTTGGGTTTTTTTTTCCTTTGAGTCAGGTTAGATGCATTTTTTTCTGGCGTTGCCCAGACCTTATCAGAGTTCATTGAAACTATCATCAGTTTGCACATGGCAAATTGCTATGTTGTATTTCTGTGTAGTGTTGAGAATCAAGGGTGGCTTGAATATTGGAAGGGGTATTAGGTAAGATATTTAATTCACACCTAGTGCACTAAGTGGGTGAGGCAGTTACTGGTGGTACAAGCAGGTGTGTTCTGCTCCAGCTCAGTTCAGTGTGTGTGTGTGTTGATGTAGTTGCATAGACAACTTTTAGTGCTTCAGAGAATCTCTGCGAGTCGAGTGAAAATGGTTGGAGAAGACAAATTTTTATAGGAAGTGACTGCAACCGAAGTGTGTGTTGGGGGAAACAACAGGAGCAAAGTTGTCTTATGGAAATCAGCGTTGGCAGTAACTGTAATCCTTTCAGGGGTTCTTGGTGTATCTAGGGTCTTGGAGGGCTGACAAACTCCTGACCTCAGTGGGAATTTCTCTGGTGTTAGATTCTATGGTAAATCTATTTATGAGGATACTAGTGTGGGGAAAAAAACATGAAATGCCAGGAATTTGGGCCTGTGTCCTCACCTGCCAGAGTCCCTGACTGCTTCTATTTTCTTGTGTAATGTTCAGCAGTTAGCTGGGTGAATAATCCTATTATTTCACCTCCTTTCCATGCAGAAAATTGGGGACTCGTACCGCGGCTATTGTGTGAGCGAGACAGAATTAGAGAGCGTTCTAACGCTACACAAGCAGCAAACACAAAGTGTGTGGGGGACGCGCCAATCTCCAAGCCCAGCCAAACCTGCCACACGGTTGATGTGGAAATCTCAGTATGTCCCATATGATGGGATCCCCTTTATCAATGCAGGTAACTAACTTTTCTTTTAATCGCTGCTTTCAAAAATGCAACAGCAGTTGCTAACTGGCCGTAAAGAAGGATCTTTATGGTATTCCGTAGTGTTGATAAAGTCCAGGCACAAACATTAAAAAAAAAGCAGCTTGGGCACCTCTGTGACACAGCCCGAAGGAGCTTGTTTCCCTGGAACCACAGGCTTATGTTTTGTTGTGATTATTTCCTTTTGTTCTTTAGAAATAAATTAGTTAAATACCATTTGATGGGGGTTCTTGTGATGAGATCTTTTGGTGGAGATCTCATCTGCTCTATGAGGATGTGAAAGTACTCATAAGGGTAAAAGCTTGTTTGAGTATTCTTGCCTAACTTTGAGATCCTTTGAAGAGTTTGTTGCACAGGAGCCAATAAACTATTAAATGGCACCCTTTAAAAAAATTAAATAAGTTTAAAAAACAAAATTAACATACCTCAGCAGACAGACTTTTTTTTTTTAAATTAATGTGTGGACTTCAGAGGTTAGTAATTAAATATTTAACTCATGCAATGCATATGTGAAATTCCTAAGAGTTCATCTGGATATTAAATGAACAGAATTTAATTGTTGTGTAGAGATTGTAAATGACTGGAATGTAGGTTATATGGTTGGGTGATTTTTCTTTTGTTTGCTTTTGTGGGGTTTTTTTGGTTTGGTGTGTTGGAGTTTTTTTGTTGTTTTGTTTTGGTTTTTTTTCTGGAAGTAACTGAAAAAGTGAAATGTTAGCACCAGTTTTAAAGCTTCAGCCATAAACTGTGAAGTGTAAGAAAGCTAAGAACAAAGCCAAAACAATTTACACTTTTTTCCCCAAAATGCTTATGAGACGTCTTTAGTTTCCTGTAAGATCTGCCAGATAAATGAGTTGTTCCACAGTAAGATATTCAGAGCAAAAACATTTATAATTTTTTTTTTCTTTAAAGTGCTTCAGACTAATAGAGACTCCGATAATGAAATTGTATTTTTTCTTTTTGCTTTGCTCAGACCCCTAAACAGGCATTATGTATATTTCTAATGTGTTGCCTTTCTAATACATTTCGGTTTAGTTTATAACTCCTCTATAAAAAGCATTCATTAAAATCCTTTACACCTGTAGAGCAGAGGCTGTAAATATGGCTTACTGAACTGCAGTTTAAATCCCAGATAACTGAATTCTAAACTGTGCAGGACAAAAGTGTTGTTCTTGAGGAATTTATCCCTTCTGCATAAGTGGAACCAATCTGTAATACCATCCCTGCTGTGCTTCAGCTGTGGGGAAATATAGAGAAGCTGAGTAGCTCCCTATAGTGTAAAACATGCACTAGTCATCAAAATCACAATTGTTTTTTTTAATAAGAATTTTAGATAATTGATACTTTTGTAAAACAAGGACCCCATCAAATTTCTTTGGAGATTCATATTATCAAGGACTAGTTTAAAGCTGTTGAAGTCTTTTCAATCCTAGAACTTCAATTTTAAATTTGTTTTTAAAAAAGAGAAGATACCCATTTGATATACGTACTTAAAGTTTCTTACTTCTTTATTTAAATTGATTTTTAAAAATTTTTTAATTATTAGTTTTTCATGTCACACTCTAAGGCAATAGCTTATTTGGTATCTTATAGAAACACATTATCTTGCTGTTGAGAAACTTAAAAAGGTTTTGGTTATGTCACTTTTGGTATAGGGAGCTACTTGTCTATATACTGGAGTATATGAATTATAAATAAAAGATAACTAAACATGACATGGAAGAAATTTGGAAGAAGTTCCTTTCTTGACTACTTGAATGCTATGCCTGTTACCTCTTCTTTTTGGATGTCTGACTTGAAGAAGTCACTTCAAGCTTAGATCTAAGCAATATTTGTTTAAGCCTGTCTGGTTTTGTGTGGAAATGCCACACTGAAACAGTGTTATTTAGCAGATAAGATAGGTCAGACTTTCAAGTAAGAATTTATGGGACAGCATGGTCTGAAGTACTGATTTAAGACAGGAGACTGGTAACAGCTGCTAACCTTTGATTTTAGCTGTGTTTTTTCTTTATTATTTTGGAAATTCTCTTATATTTATTACCAGCCTTGTGCTCGTTTAGTAACTTGCAAGGCTGCTCGTCTTGCAAAGTGTTGGTGTTCACCAGGGCAGAATCCAGTATTTTGCTTCCATATATGTTGCAGAGGAGTTGTGCAGTATAATAAGTGTGGGAAATGCTTTGAAAATGCTCTGTATTCCTTACATGCTGTAAGAGAAGCATTTGCACTGTATTTGAATGCTTGCTGCACTTAAATGTTCTGCCTTCTGAAGTCTGATGGTAAACAGAAACAGCTGTTTTGAAACTCATCTTTTCTGTAGTTACTGTTTTACTGTCATAACTTCAGTGGTTGCTTGAGTAAATAGTGCATTACTTCCTGTTCTCAGGAAGCAGAGCCATTGTAATGGAGTGCCAGTATGGGCCAAGAAGGAAAGGGTTCCAGCCCAAAAAAGCTGGTGAGCAGGAAGGCACCTCTGGCCATCTGTACAAAGCCACTTGTCCAGCAAGGTAAGAATTGTCTATAAAGCTGGAAGAGCTACTCAGCATCCTAAGAAAGTGTTCTTTCTGTGAGCCTTGACAGACCGCTGTGTGGGGGTGGTAGCTGATATGTCCTGTAGCTCATAGCTTTGTCTCCTTGATAACTTGAGGTTGATACTCATTTAGAGGGGAGGAGGAAATGCTGTCCTGTTAAACTGAATAACGCTGAGATTTGATAGGTTGCCTAGATGCAAAGTAGCAGTACATCAAGATGTGAAATACAAGTGGGAATCATTCTCTACCTGGGAATTAGTTTTTCTGGTGTCCTTTAGTGACCGTTTTTGGTCCTAAAAGTTTGTCGTCTTATTTGTTGTTTTTCATTGCACTCATATCAGTCAATCATACCAATTTAGCAGATGTTCTTTGTGCTGAAGGAGTTACAGTTCTTCCTGTTCCCTGGAGACTTTCTCCTTATCCAGCACTAATGTTTTTTTAACTTGTCATCGAGCATCTTCCTGAGTTCTTGTTCAGTTTTTACTGAGCTAAGAGTGTGTTTACCTGGACGGTTGCAGCTGGGTATGTGTGTGCTCAATTCTGGCTTCAAGCTGGGTGAACTACAGCCTGGTCAGAAATTATGTGCTTTTACTACACTGAGGAACAGCAGGTTTTTGCTGAGGTGCAAAATCAGTCTGGCTGAGCAGCTTCCAGACCAGAAGTGTATCTATCTTCATCCATCTCTGTTGATGTGTTCTTAATAATTCTACTGTTTTCTTAGAGGTTCTTCACCCCCTGCAACACTCTACTTGAACTTTTCCTATACTAATATCTGATATTAAATAGGTGGGGGGTTTGCCTTCCACAGCTGAGGGCAAAGTGTACTTAAGGAGAATTTTTTTTTTTTTTTAAATTCTTCCTCCCTGCCCTTCCCCACTGCCTTGGAAGGATATATATTAAAAAGGTTCAGAAGTTTCCAGAATACAGGGTTCCTACTGACCCTAAAATTGACAAGAAAATCATAAGAATGGAGCAGGAGAAAGCATTCAACATGCTGAAGAAGAACTTGATAGATGCTGGTGGTGTCCTCAGGTAAAACTTTCACTTTTTTCTTTACGTTGACAAATGAAGCAAAAGAGAGCAGTAATTTGATTGGTTTGCTTTATTTTTTACTTAGTCACTTTATCGAGACTCTTGTTTAATATCAATAGTAAAAAATCCCAGAATGTCAGGAAGACTTCTGTGGCTCTGGAGTATTCATTTGGTAAATGTGTTAAGCACCACCAAGCTGTGGAGTTTCAGCAGATGTTTTCATGCAGGTAATGGATAGAAATAGTTTTATTATTTGAGGGTTTGAGCTGGTTTGTTTTGCATTGAAAGGTGTGAGAGGGCTCTGAGCTCTGAAAGGCAATATATTCCAGCTCAGGGACTATAAAAACTTAAGTCACTCTAACTAGGTTGTCTGTGATTATCAGACAGTTCCCCCAAGAGACTCATTTTTTTGCCTTTCCTCAACACTTGTGTGTAGAAACTCTTTTCTTCTTGCCAGGTGGTACGTACAGTTACCCACTCAGCAAGCCCACCAATATCATGAAATGGAAACTTCCTGCCTTCCTTCTTCACCCTCCCATTTTTCTGTGTCTTCTCCTGAGGAGGAGGAGGAAGTTGTTAGAGATGAGAACTGTACTCTGCCTTCCCGTCTTCATCCTCAAGTGGCAGACAAGATCCGAGAACTGGTGTCTCAGGGAATAGAGCAGGTCTATGCAGTGAGGAAGCAACTAAGGTACAGAACTGTCTGGCATGTTCTCAGTCTGTAGTGCTACATCTACTTTTGCATTTGATTAATTTGGTTTGCAACTAAATGGCAGTGCTGATGCATTACTGAATTTATTTCCCATATACCATGAGAATCTGTTTTTTCCAGCTTTTGTCTTCTCTGTTTCCATTGTAGGTAGTCAGTAAGCGCTGCTGTCCTCTTGAAAGTTAGTTGAATAAATGGGGATATTTAATTCCAAACTCGATAGCAGATACACAAGGAATTAGGTCAGAAGATCATCTAGCTTGCTCTTGTCATTGCAGCAAGGGAAGGGAGAAGGTAGCTGTGTCTATAACAGAGAGAAGTAGCACAATATATTTTAAATACACATGTTTTAATGTCCTTTAACATGTGACAGAAAGTATGTGGAAAGAGAATTATTCAAGCCTGATGAAGTGCCAGAAAGACATAACCTGTCCTTCTTCCCCACTGTGAATGACATCAAGAACCACATCCATGAAGTTCAGAAGTCCCTGAGGAATGGCGAGATGGTGTATAATTCAGAAAGTATCCCAGCAACGGTATGGTTGCCTTTGTGTTTCTTCTTGATTTTTGGAGTTGAATACTGGAAATCTTATTTTTAATTTTTACCACTTAGCTGTATTTTATCCACAATTCTCTCTGACTTTATATTTCCAGCAGCAGTATTTTCAGTGGAATCTCTGCATGAGCAAGATTGGGTTAAATGTGAATAAAACATAACCTTTTTTGGTATTTATCTCGTCAGCACTAGATTGCTGTTAGTTGATTGGCAAGTTACACAATACTGGCACTTCATGATGAGTGCATGAAGTGGAAGCCATGTAGAAAAATTGGCACTCATCAGAAAATTTTATTCATGGATTTGTCATTGTCTGTGTTTTGGAGAAATTACAACTAGTTTTCCATATCTGAAAAACGGAGATGAAATATATCTCAGGTGCAGTCTAAATTAGGTTTTGCACAAGATTTTAAATGTGTAAATATTAATAAATGCACTTTACAGCAAGTGAAGTAAGCATGAAGTAGATACTTCAGAATGCTCAGTAACTCTCATGTGTTCCTTAATTTTCTTCTACCTATTGAGTAATAAGGGATACACAGCGATCTTAGTTTTCCTAGTTATGAGGCTGATTGCTAAGGAATTGCTGATTTTTTTTAAATCAGCTTTGACAAACTGTACTCTTAAATTGTGCTGTGTCACCAGACTTTTCCCTCTCCCTCTACTGTTTTTGGGCCAAATGAGTGAGTGATACTTGTTAGTCAGCCAAATGGTTTGACTATTTTCTATTGTAAAGTCTTTGAACTTGAGCAGACTTTAGTCTTCCTGCTACAGTGCATGTTAAAAAAAATCTTTTATAGTTTTTTTTTTTTTTTGTAAACCAAGAGGTCTCAAAATGCATAGTTATAAGAAAATAAGAAAGTGTAGTTTTAGACATTGTTTTTCTAGGGGTCCTGTATTGAGCATATATTCCTGTAGTAGACAAACTTGCACCTTTTCTGAGAACTGAGATCTTTTTCCTTTCAGCTGCAGTGGACCACAGACAGTGGGAATGTTCGCACAGAAACAGTGACTGTTACATTTGCCTCACCACCTTCAGATGGTAGGACTGCATTAATAACTTAACTGTCTCCAAGTGTGATTTGTTTTATCAGCTGTCACAGAAGTTCCGTTTCCGTCCAGAGAGGTGGTTGTCATGTTCTGTCACTCAGCTGATATTAAGAATAATTATTTTGTTGTTTCTATTTTGGAATACTTTTTTTAACTATTTCACTGCGTGTGTGGAAAAATATGTGTAGTTGTGATGGGGTTGGCAGAAGTACGAAAATTATAAATTTGGCTTTTATTTGTCATCCTCAAGCAACTGAAGATTTTAACAGGATGGTTATGTGGACAGAACATTTTACCTTGGATGAAGGTGCTGATAACACCTGTTAGAGAGAACTAAATTCCTACTGAACAGGGCACACAAAACCCAGGAGCCAAGTGTGTACCTGAGTTCCTTGATGGTTTGTGCTTTGCACAGTCTTAAACATCTTGCTATGGATTTGAATGTATATTGGGATTCCTGCTTCTCACGTAGTCATTGGCTTGATTAATTCCACTGCTAGGATCAGACCCTGAACAACAAACACTGTATTTCTCTTGTCAGAATTGAGAGCACTCTTTTTCCTTTTTCCTTAATGCTTAAGAATAGAAATAGAAACACAGGTGTTTAGTGGCAGCAGGGCTGTGAAATATGTATCTTCAGTTCTTTGTGGTGTAACTTCTTTATTAATGTGTGAAGTCAAAGTAGCACCTCTTCCCAGCAATTGCTGAGCCACCTAACAAAGTATTAAACTTCCCACTCTGGTACAAAACCAGACTGTAGATAGTGTAGAGTTCTGTAGAGTCTTGGTTTTATGTGTTAATGGTCAAAGGTCTGGTTTTTTTGAAGATGCTAGTTACACTATTTTTTCCTTTGTTGAAAATAGGTTCCTACTAGTATTACTTCAACTTCAGAACATGTACTAAACTGAAATGCAGGTGTTTGTAACTAAACCTACTTGCTGCCCACATACTTAGGATTACACATAGGCTGAGATGCTCTGCTGGATCATGGTGGCTGATAATAAATTTTAAATTAGATTATTCTGCCCTTTTCCCCAGGTTTAAAGGATATTTTGTCTAGTGTAACACCAAAATAACTCTTCTGCATGTTTGTGGATGCTTTCCCCATCCTTTGTTTAATAGGTTTGATATGAAACTCATCAGAAAAGTTGTTGGCTTTTGGCAGGGCTGTGATAGCAGCAAGGTGGAAGAGCCTGATTGTTTGCATACATCAAGATAATGCTGCAGACTTCTTACATCTCTAGTACTGCCAGCTTGTTGCCCCATTTAATTGGAACGTGGTGGTGGGTACTTTTTGTTCGACACACCTGATAAAGAAGTCTACAGGAACCAGAGAGGCACTGCCGCAGTTGTCATGGTTAAAGATTTACTTGTGTTGATGGTTATCCTCCACTGTAGTTCTTGTCTGAAGAAGTCCTGATGTGTTTGGATTTCTTTTCCCTTTGACCCCTGTCACTCCCTGACCTATTTTTTATTTTGTTGTAGCGGGAAATAAAACCCCCCAGGGGTTTGGCTCACTGTGATTTCTCCTAAATGACTTGATGAACCTGATTTATGTGGAGCAGTTCCATGCACAGAGCATTTACAGTTAATGAAAAGGCCGATGTTGGGCTTTGTTTTGTTTGGATTTTTTTAACTTTTATTTTAGCTGTTGTTGAAATGGATGAATTTGAACTGAAAAGCATCGTGTATGCTTGGTGCTCTTAGGATAAGAATTTTGATGTTGACAACTGTCAAAGGACAAGAGGTACATTTTTGGATTCAGTTTGAAGTGTCCCTCTTTTTTTAGGGAAGTCTTGTTTTTTAGGAAAGAAAAAAAAAAAGAAATTTGCAATATGAACAGACTTACTGTGCTTAAGCTTGCATGTTAATATTTCCATTGCTGTGCTTTTATGAAGAGACAGAACAGTTGTGCCTTCAATAGCTGTGATAGAGCTTAGCAGGGATGACTTTTGGTATGAACTGTCTTGTCTCCCCTTATGTACGTGGTATGTGTTTGTACACATTGCAGACACATGTTTATAATTGTATTACAAGTCTAAGCAAAGATAGAAGCCTGACTTTGAAAAAAATCAGCTCTTCTGTGAAGTGGTAGCAAGGGGAAACAACACTGACTTTTCAGACTACTGTTTGTATACAATTTTTTTCATTTCAACTTGTGCCAAATGGGGACAAATTTACATTTAAGAAATCAAACAATAACAGAACTAAACCCAAATGTTTGTTTTCTTACTGTGCAGAACTCTATCTCCATGTGATACGACTCGCTTTGTTCTGTCCTAGGTGTAAGAATCACTGTAACTATCAGAGTTAAGTGTGTTCCCTTTTACATCTTTTATGAAATATAATGACAAGTGAGATAAAGTAGCTATCTATGTATATTTTTTAATTTTTTTTTTTTTAACTTCTGGCATTCATACTGAATGCCAATGCAGTGTAAAGAGTGGGTAGATTAGGAGTTGAACTATTAGCTTTATCCCAAGGCATGTTGATGTAGAACACAACCTAAGGAGAGAACTGCCATCTCTTCCTACATGTGAGTATTCACATATGCATATGGGAACTCTGTATAGTATTAAAAAGAGCCTAAATATTTGAAGTAGTTGTATTCAAAGAGATTTCATAGAGTGTATCTTATGGTCAGTTACAATGAAGTGTTAGAGCTTGAAAATCAGTATATATGTTGAAAAATGCATCACCATGCACTTAGATTGCTGGAAACTTTTGTATGATTTCCTGTAGGAAAGCTTTTTGTGATTGACCATTCTCAATTTTTTTCCACTCACCAGACTAATCTGTATGTACATAGCAAGCTCTTCCTTTGCAGTTATAGCAGTGAAACTGTGAAATTAGAGGCTAAGCAGTATCTACTTGTGTCTGGATAAATCTTAACCAAAATGTTCTCGGTGGCTCAAATAGAAAATGGGATGATCCCACGGGAAGAGAAATTGATATAAGTGAATCTCAGTTTTTAAAAGTCTTCAGGAAATGAAGCCCATCATTCTTGAATTAAAGAAGAATTTTGAGCATGTGATAATAACATGTAGGCTGAAAGGCCTCCAGATAAATGGATTTCTGGTGTGATATTGCATGTAAGTTATGCTAATTTCACAAAGATGTTTGGAAGGGAATGGTGAGACTTAGAGGATTTCCTGTGTAGCTTTTTATTTTGGAAGACAACCATTTCTTTTGATGCCTGTCTGTTATTGAGCCCTTACTGAGGTGTATGTATTATCAAATTATTAATTGCTTTTTTGATAGGTATGTCCCAGCACAGTGTAGGGTGCATTTACTTTGCTCTCCAAAATGGATTTATTGATGCTTCTTTTTTTAGTCTCAACAGACACATACAATTTCCCTCCAATATCGTCTTCCATACCCAGCCTTCTTTCTTTAGTGTCCAAGTTCTTCTGCTAAGAGAACAGCATATATGTATATACATGTCTTTTTATATGCCTATATTGAGATTGAAGGGGTTTGTTCGCTTTGCAGGGGAGGCTTTTAAACGGGAAGAAATTTGTCATAACTGTCTGCTTCTTCTCTGTGTCACTGTAGGGAGCTCAGCAGGGGAGTCAGTCGTCACCAAAGCAGAATCCAACCAGAGTGGGGAGTCCTTGCTACCAGAAACACCTCAGCTGTTGTCTTCACTCTCTTCACTTCAGCCCAAAATATTTGCACAACTTCAGGTACAGTGAAGTTATTTACAGAATGTTGAATGTTCTGTGCTGGGAATGCTGAAGAAGCTGAGAACAGTGAGTTCCCTCTCAGCTAATGATCCCAAACACTGGCTAGGTAACACAGACTTTGAAATAACTGTCAGGTCTTACTTGGGCCTCTCTTGCCTGTCACACTTAGCATATAGCAGTGGTGCAGGGGATCCTACTACCATCTTTTGACACTTTGAAGTTAGAGTTTCTTGTGAAGGCAAAACCATGAAGATGAAAGTAGTGGGCTTCTGCCTCAAACCAAATGCCTATTCATTTTTCATATGGTCCTGTCATTTCATAATGAAATGCAAAACTGAGGGGAGATAAGTCAATCTTATTCCTTTTAAATCTTCCTCCAGCCTCTTAACAAAATATGTTAGAATCCTAAAACTGGTCCCACCTCAGATCTGTAAACTTCCAGATTGAAAGGCTGAAGAATGGGGATAAGAATGTCATGCTTAAAAGAGTTTCTTCTAAAGCTTTATCTCCCTTCAGAGGTGGCTCTCTTAGCTTTCTTCACTAACTACTTCTTTGAAAAGCTACCTTCATACTTTCTGAACCCCAATGAAATGCATAATCTCTTCCCTAGAAATACAGTCTGCACGAATATGCTGTTCTACTTGCTGTTTCCTTCTCTGAAGGCAGTCTGGTTCTACCTCACTTTTAAAGCAGTATGCTTAGCTTTTAGTGCCCACCTCTTGTGGGGAATGATTTGAAACTGATTATCGATCCAAAATTAGAGATTTATGGTCGTAAGTAGTCTTGTACATGCTGCTGAATACCATTGTCCTAATTACTTTCTAATACAGCTTTAGCCTAGGATTGCTGGGATTGACTGTTCAAAATAGATGATATATAGGAAGTCAGAAGCTATCCAGTTCCAGCAGTGCAAAATATGTGCCATTAAATGCAAGTTGCTCCTGATGTAAATACTGGTGTGTTAGTTCTTCTGCCTTCTCTTTCGCAGGGATTACAGCTGCAGTCAACTTTTACCTCCACAAACGGATCAACAGCCCTGATAACTGTAAATAACCATTCCCCTCCAAGCCCTGCAAGTCTCCTGGATTCCATAGGGAGTGCAATAACCAGCCATTCTCTAGTACTTAGTCAGGGACACAGTCTGCAAGCAGGTGCTGGCCTAGCACAGCACAACGCTGCTGCCTCTGCCTTTGGGACTCTGCCTGGCACTGATCAGAGCCTGGTCACCATGGGCCAGCTGGTAGCGGTTGGAGGGGTAGATGACTCCAGAAGCCTAGAAGGAGGAGTCCATCAGGTTCTCCTGGGAGATGTACAGACTATTCCAGTACGAATTGTGGACAGCCATCCAGCCCTTAGTAAGTTGCAGTCTTCCCAATAATGTGTAAATATAGAAAATACGGTGGATTTTGTTCTCTGTATTGAAGAAAGGAAAGAAATGTGTTGATAATGGGGAACTCTAATATAGACTTCTTTCAGCTGATCCTAAGTATTTTTTACTGTGAAAACATGATGACTGTAAAAAACCAAACCAACTTAGTTTCTGCTGTAAAAAGACGACTTAGTTAAACTGCTTGTCACTTTCTTTGACCGTATACCAACTTATTTGATGAACACAGTATTTTTGCCAAAAATCCTAATATTTAGCTAAAATTATGATCTTCAAAATAATTTTTTTAAAGTAAAAATAAGAATAGAAAATAACCACTATTGTATCTAGTTAGAACCCTTTGGAAAGAAATGTGCGGGTTTTGATGACTTTTTTGCACCATCCCATCGGATTTCTGAAATCTTTTTTTTTAATAATTTTCACTAGGATCCTGTAGTCATCAATATACTTTAGAAGTGATCGGTTGGAGTTGTATGTAATTGCTTGGAATTTCAAACTTTTGTTTGAAAATACTTTTCAAAAAATACCCAATAAACACCATAAAATAACCCTCCCTCTATCAAAATAGAAGGCTCCTTAAAACTATTATTATAGATAAAGTCTTTGAATTCTTAGCCATGGAACCTGATTGAGAATGAAAGCTTGCATTCTCAGATAATGATTTCTAATTTTTGGTGAAGAAAATCTATTAGATATGGAGCATATACAGATCAGTGCAACATAACCTTTTGACTACCCAGAGAGTCTGAAATGTTGTCAGTGCAATGCTTTATTATTTCTGTATCATCTTTTCTTGTTATCTGTGGCTTCTGAAAAGATGACTTGAGTAGTTTTGCGGGAACATCTAGGTAAAGATGTGCTAGATCATAGCTTTACACCTTCATAATGCCATAGTGATAATTATCTCCATATGTCCTGATGACTTTTGCAGGTCAGCAAAACTTAATGTGTACTAAATTCTGTAATATTCTGAAAATGAAAATATAAGACTACATGAAGAAATAAATAAAAAAGAAACAAAGGGTACATGAGGAAATATGCTGAAATTCATATGTGTTAAAGAAATATTAGGATATTTTACTGTGGCAGTATTGTCGTAGTTAAATCTAAGGGATTTTCTGCCTGCTGTACTGAAATGTTTGTGTTACTGGTTGTTTTCCCTTTTATAATTGAATTTCACTACTCTCCTGAGAAATTCTGTTTTCATTCAGGGTAAAAGAATTTCAGAGATGTTATCAGATGCTCCTCCATTCAGTTGTTTAATGCATTTGTTCAATCTAGAAGTTGATGCCTCACAAAAAATATTTGTAAGTGATAAGCGTTCCGAGTGAATTTTTAAAGAAATACTCTTTTACACAAGAAGTGTGGTCAGATACAAAATTTTATAACTTCAAGGGCTAAACTTACTGTTCCTTTGGGATATCCTGGGGTTTTTTCTGCTCAAGGTCTCAGTCTGTCATCGCTAGCCTGAATTTGGAAACTCTGAGAATATTAGTTCCATTCCTAAATTATGTGGAGGAGTTGCCTATAAAATGAACAGATACCTCTTTTTTACTTCAGAGACAAGTTCTTTTTCTGGAGAGCAGGAGGACAAAAACCAGTCTGGACTGAAGAGTGAATAATGTTACAGAGCGTATTGGGAGGAAACACAGTATACTTGAACTTAGTGGTTCAGTCAGTGTGTATCTCAAGATGTTGTTTTTTCCTGTGTGTGTGCATATATTTACGCACATGTGCACTTGGTTAAAATTATGCTGTATGTTCTCAATTTTCTCTTGTCCAATTGCTAACTTAAGAATAAGCTATTTCCTGCTGAAAATGCATGTGCAGTCATTGAGAAGTGGCCAGTCATGCCTGAAGTGTAAGGTGTAAGTCATTCTCTAAATCAACATGTTTTAGAGTTCATTTTTTCAGCGATAGCACCACCATTCCTCCTTTCCCCTGGAAAAAAAAAAAATTAAAAAAAAGATGGTAGCTTTATCTTTCCATGGGAAAGAGGAAAGACATTTTGTGTGAAAGTAACTTTATATATTCAAACATATTATTTTTTTATAAAATCTTTTGAATATTCTTACTCGAGGGGGCTCTTACTGCAGTAAATTCATGTCAACCTGCAATGTCTTATAGCACAGTAGATGACATAACTGGCTGTCAAACTAAGCAGCGGTTAGTTTCACAAATGCCTTGCCTATTAGCTTGAGTTCCTGAAATATTTTTGTTTTAAATGCATACAGTTATTGGGACTGAGGCACTGTCAGTGGAGTTTGAACTTCAATGTTTGATTTTTGTTTTGTTTTTAAGCTGAAGAAAATACGGAGGGTGTTATCTGTGTGAGCCAAGTTAAACAAGAGCCAAGAGAAAAAGCTTTGTCTGTGGAGCCAGATAAAAGCAGAGACTGCCATAGTTCCTCACCTATTTAAATCTGTGAAGCCTGGAAGGATTTTTCAAATCGGAGAACTTGGAAGGAGAGGCGGGTGATCTCAAAGTAATGCCATTCTTTTTAAATCTTATTGTGACATTCAGACTAGGTGTATGTTACACTAGTTCTGACAGACAGCTGTGTTGATTTATGACTGATGTGGCTCACTGCCAATTCCAGGTCATTCAGTTGCCCTGTGGAACACCACCTCTCTCTTCTATTTCAAGTGTTGAGTAAGTTGGATGCTATCCAAATGGCTTATTTTGGTCAACATTTCTGAAGGTCTTCCACAATTTAATTCCTTAGCTTTAGAATGTGGATCACAATGCTGGGTTTGCTTTTCTCCTTGAGACCCTCGACTGTTACGGCGCTACAGAGATGGTAGAACCTGCCAGCTCCAAGACCACAGAATCCAATGGTAAAGTGTATGAGTACAGCAGTGATTTTGTGAAAAATGAAGGTCCAAGATGCTAAATATCAAAGTGATGAAGGACATGGATGCTTAAGAAAATGCAACTTTGACCTGATCGTAATGTTAGTGATGTGAAGATCAAGGAGAAGAGAAAGGTGAGGTTGCCAGGTGAACATTAAGGTTGTATGATGAAGTGTGAATTGTAATGGTGAATGTTTTCAACTTTGACATCTTTGAACTTATATTCTGGCTTCATAACAAGGTTTGTTGCTGCATGCAGCCTTTGCAGTGTACTGTGTTAGCAGTTGGTGATAGCAACTAAATACAGAAATCTTGTCTCATGGAAAATGATTAATACTGCCATTTCAGCTTATCTACCTTTTGCTTTATGCACTTACTCTCTCAGCTCAGATAAATATAATTTAACCTGCTGCTGTTCGTGATGTAGGGTTTATGGATGCACTACTAACAAAGAGAGGCCCAGGAAAACAAAGCAAGTGGGTTTTTTTCCATGGGAAGGAAAAAAAGACATTTTGTGAGAGTAACTTTATATCTCTAAATATAAATCCAAGCAACATGTGCAAGTGTGCTGTCACTATAACATTCAGAAAACAAACTCATCTTTTTCAGTGGTTGCAGCTTCTAAGACTAAAGTAGTCCATATCACTCAAAATAATTACCAGGAATCTTTTAAAAATTGAATAGGATAAAGAAGTATCTTTTAGCAATACTTAAGCCAAAACCATAATAAGTGACATGGGCTGAGTTGTATAATCTGTGACAGACATGTTTCTTTAAGAAAAAAATACACCTACAAATAACTTGAAATCCATTTAAAGCAGTAAATAAAATGAAACTGATGCCAACATAGATACCAAGTTAAACAATTACCTTGTTTGCTTCAGATGCTGAATTCTTAGAGCAAAATTCAGAGTATTTTGTGTACAGCAATATCAGCAGTTCTGTTATTAGCTCCTAGGTGGTTGAGAGCTTGATCATAAAATTAGATGTTTTTCTGCATGCTGTACAAGAATGCAATCTGAGGACCTTCTCTTTTTCAGACTTAAAAAAACACAAAAAATCCCCCAAAACAGAAAAACAAAAACATTATAGGAACATAGAGATTAACATTTTAAAGTTGTTAAATATGTTACCATGCATTTAAGACATTCACAGACATCATCTAAATAGTGGCCATTGACTCAAAAGAGAATTAACAATTGTATTTCAACCTAAATCTTTAAACAGTTGCACACTGAACTTAGGTTCCTAATGCCTTTATATGCAACATCTGCTAGGTAGGTGCTATAACTTAGGCTTACCTTAGAGTTTATTTACTTCTGTGAGGTTAACTAACATTGTTAATACTGTTCATTTAAAGCTAGTGTCTATGGGTTAGCTTAAATTAGAATTTTGCAGCAGGATCATGCTCTTCTTAAATAAGAGTCAGTATACTGTTAACGTGCAAGTGCACAGAGAATCTCCAGTTCTTTGGAGTCTCTCTTATTCCATTTCTACACTGTCTTGTTTTGTGGTATGCCTTGCTCATTTCTGGGTAGGTAAAATCCCACAAGGTTCACCCTTTGAGGACTTTTTTTGTTATTGTTCATTGTGAAAATATGTCCAAAGTGGATGTTCTCTTCTGCAGTCATAGTTCTGGAGCACACAGGCAGCAGTCACCTTTTCTCTCCAACTCAGTAATTGTATACAAGAATGGGTACCTCCTTCCATGCTGCTCTGTTTAGCAATTCTATCACCTTTGTTTTTTCTTAAACCAATGCATTCCAAAGTATATTTCTTTTCTCAATATTACTCACTTCTTGAGAACTGCTCCTCATTTTTGAGAATGTTTATTCTCAAAAGAATAAATTACAGTTAAAGATAACCAGCAAGAGGTTCTTTCAGTTTTAGTTCTCTTCGAAGCAGACAATACATTTGTGGTCGGAGTAGAAGCTTAAGGAAAGAGAAGTTAGATTTCCATCAGTTCTTGCTTAGTTTCCTCATTAACAGATCTTTTCTTTAACAGTTGCTGTTCTTCCCACCCTACAGTCTCATCCTGTGCTGAACAGTATTTCTGATGGTGCTTCTATTTTTGGTTTGGTGCTCACAGCTGGAGGATATACTCTTTTTGTCCATCTTGAATTGCAGGCTGTGAAATGGATTTTATGATCTACCCTGATTTGCACAGAACCCTGACAGCAATAGAACAAAAAGTTGTGAAAAATTTAAAGAAGCAGTAAAGAATTAGTGTTTTTTAAACACGGGATATGAGAGTTGCAATTCTATTGACCAAAAATTTTTGTTTAAAAATCAAATACTCACCTTATTGTTTTCAGTTTCCTTTATTTTCACAGAATTTCAGTTGTTTTCCAAATACATATTCCAGTTTATTACTGTGTTGTTTTTTAATTTCCTCTTTAAAGAGTCTGTTTACATTTGTTTTATGCATGTTGCTAATGGAGGAATACAAACTCACCACCCATACCCAGTCTCTATATTCAGCTTAACACCCTTGTTCACTAATGTCCACCTCAATCTTACAGAAAAGACTATTATGTATATGAAAAAAGTTTCAAGTAAACAATACCACTTTAAATGCAGTTAAGTTTGTTTGAATACAATACTTCAAGGCTGATTTTTCAGAGAAAGCTATGTAGCTTCATGCAAAGTAGTTGGCTATTACTTTGCATTGGAATTGTAGATGTTTTTCTGATGTTTACTTTGTTTTCTTGTGGTTGTTACGTTCAAGCATTTATTTTGCAAACCTAGAAATCCTGAGCTGCAACAGTACTGTGAATGAGCAAACTGTTCTCCAACTTACCCTCATTGTTGGTGACCCGTAACAGTGATCGGTTGGCTTTACAAGAGCTGTGCTTATGTATGTGCATGCAAAAACAACTTTTTGTTAAAATGTAGAGAAGACAAAAAGGCACACATCCATAGCTCTTGTTCAAGGCTGGCAGCCTCTTGGATGGAAACAAGTAGTGTTAATGAGTCCTTTTTGTGGTATAGATTGTTGCAGTTTGTACACAAATTAGAGACATAAATGTCTGTATATGTGTGCGTGTGTGTGTATGTAGTTATATAGTAAATTAATGTCTAATATTCCTATGCAAATGTAAACTACATTTTCTTTTAAAGTAATGGTCTATGTTGTGGTTATGGGGGCTTGTGGGGAGAAATGCAAGAGCTACTTCAGAGCAGTGGTTTCTTGGGATGAAGGAGAGCAATTAGGACAGCTCCAGGGAGACCAGGTGGAGGAAGGTCCTGAAGGTGTGTGAAAAGCAAGGGTCCTGCGGAGGGGCCTGCACTTGGGGGGGCTCCAGGGCCCTGGAAGAGGGTTGTGAGCCCATTGCAAAGGCTCAGTGCTGCTCCTTGAATCTATGCCAGTAGTAGATAGGGTGAGTTCATGGTAGGAATTTAAAGGTAGAGAAGAAAAGAGAAGTCTGTCCTGCCCTCAAAACCAACAAAGCTGCTTGAGTTTTGGTGAGTACCAGAGGCAGGTAAATGAATTCCTGTAGTCTGAGACACCCATTTGTATCTTCTAATATGAAGAAAAAACTTCTCTTGGAGCTTCAACCCAGGAGCATAGACTCTTTTCTCCTTTACATGTTACCAAGTAAAATACACCTTTTCTTCCCAACACAATTAACTTGCTGCTCTCCTCATCCGTCTGAATGCAACTCTGTCTACCTCAAGCGTGCTCAGTATCCACCAGAGTCTCTCTTCCTTCATAACTTCTAGGGCTTCCACCCAAGTCCGGTGCCCTCAGGCCCTCTGATACTCTAATGTTTTCACTGTTACACTGTTGGAAGGAACTAAGTTCACCGCACAAGTAAATAGCAGTGAGATTTGCTCCTGTCAGTTTTTCTTACTGTCTCCCCAGGATCCTAAGTCCATATGTTCCTTTTAATTGCATTAAGTTTTCTCCTTGCTTGCTTTGGAGCTGCTTATCCATACCTGGATGAGTATCAGGCAGCCACATTTCACTGGACATGTGTTACATTCACAGCAACTGAAAAGATTTAAGGAAAAAATGATAGTTTCTGCCAGCTGTTAGGGCTTTATATTGAAAAACTGGCCTCTTTCCTTTCATTACACTTGAGTTCCTGATTCTGGCTGTGCATAGTAGCTGGCTATTGATTTGTCTGTCTGTTGGCAAACTAACAATTTGCTCCCTTAAGCCTGTTCAAACAGATACATTCTCAGAAGATTAGGCAGGAAGAATCTGTTCCATTGGGGTAGAAAGTGTGATATAGCTGAGGATGGTGGTGTGAAAAGTTACTGCTCTTTGTGGATCTCTGAGAAAATTCTTGATTTGCCATTCCCCTCTGAACAAAGCTTTTGTAGGAATAAAATTCAGAGCCTATCCCATCAGTAATGATTACCTTCTCCCAGCAACAGTGCGCCTCATTAATGAATGAAATAAGCATTATGTAAAACAGGCTGTGTTGATTTTTTTAGGTCAGAGGCTATCCAGCAGGTCTATCCAACAAGCAACAACTAAGGTATGATTTTGGGGGGAGGAAGAGGGGAAGGCAAAAACCTCGTCACTTGGCAGGAGTGTATGTGCACTTATCTGGGGTTTTTTTACAAAGTAAGCTGTTACACCTTAGTATCTCATTCCATTTCTAATGCATGTGACAAATGACATGTTTATTTTCTGAAGAGATTTGATGTGTTTTCTGGAGAATCTTCAAAGGAGTGATCACAGAAATTATTAGTGGGTGTTTGTCATCTTAAGACCCCATTCTGGTCTAGTACAGAAGGGGTTTTAAAATCAAGTCCTTGTCCTGAGGAGTCTTCCCTGGACAGAAAAATAGGAGAGCTGGATGCTGTGGGAGTAACTCTTACCAGCAGTCTGTTAGCCTCTGCTAAATAGAAGAAACCTTGCAAAAGAAACCTCTATGGAAAAAGTTACCTTTGGATGCTTTATAGTTTTAAGTGATATATGCATATAGGATTGTATGTATCTAAAAAAAGGAGGAAAAAAAAATGGAGACATTAATATAGTAGTCTGCATGTAGATCTTTAATACAGTTCTAATAATTAACTATGGTTAAATGATGCAGATATTTTAGGGCACATGTAATCAGATCTTTTAGTGTGGATAATTGGAATTCATGGTTTTACTACAACCATCCTTAGCGCTCTGCAGTGCAGCTCAGTTGGTCGTTTGGCATGTACTGGCCTTCTGTTAATGACAGTCTGCCTGTTTAAACACGAGCATGCTGTTCTAAGCAAATTAAACTTTCTCTTCCTGATCTTTTTTTTAATAGAGATTGATAAGGATTGTAGGAGAATGAAAATCTGTTTGTAGTATAGTGATTTCATAACAGTTGATTTCTGGGTCCTGAGTATGAAGGAACTAGAGAGCAAAAACTTACATACCATTGGATATGGTCATGTTTCTAATGTGCTTGGATTTCGACAGCAAGACGCTGTCAATGCAGCATAAACTACCACTAAAATACTGTTAAAATTTTAGATCTATTCTTTGTTTAAATGTTGATAGTTCAGTGGCTTCAGGAAAGATTGGACTTGCTTCTGCTTCTTTTAGAATAGTCTTGTCTCTAGATACTATTTAAAATTTAATTAGGTGTGGCAATCAAATGGCAGTAGGAGAGGCAGAAACAGAGATGTGTGTGTGGGCAGATCAGTGGCAGAGGGAGAAGTTCAGTCCCACTGTCCTCATTCCAGGCTAATGTTCTCTGTGCTAGTCCTGAATGCACCCCTTGGGGAACAGTGATGATTTGTCTTTGTGTTCCGACTTAGCTATTCTTTCTGCTTGCCCACTCAAGAAGTTGTACAAGCCTGCAAGGGACAAGGATGTAATGAAGAAGGTGTGTAAGATCTTATGGGAGGACCTGCAGGAACGGAATGGAGTAGGCTAAAGGTTGATGACGTGACTTCTATAAAGTCCACATTCTTTGGTGGGAGGAAGAGGATTTTTTCAATAGAGAATAAAAGTAAATCTTCCTTTTCAGAAGTATTAGAATTATTGTGTGTCTCTGATCTGCTTCACAAGGTGCCTAGAGTTTGGAAAGATCTCAGTGGTTTTATGAGTATGTACCAAAATGTTAATGAATTGTCCATGTATTGCCATCTTTGCATGTCATACTGAAACTGTAGGCCAGTGGTGTCTCCTGATCTTTGTATTGTCTGTGTACATTTTCTTAAAGTAAATGAAAGCTTGTTTTATAAAGAAACAGTGGGGAGCTTTTGTTTGAAGTCCTTTCAGATAGATACTTAAGAGTAAGCTTTAAGTTAAAGTGGATAATGTTGTATTTCTGCAGAAATTCCTTATGAGAAAATATTAGTGTATACTTTTAACCCTGTGATAACCTAAAACAACCAAAGCCTTTTCCATTTTTTTTTTCTTTTTATACAGAACAGGAAGCATTCCAAACTGTCCTTCAAAACCACCACGTTCACCTCAAAGGTTTGACACTTTTCTTCATCTGTAGGTGATCTTCCATCTATGCTGCAAATCACTGTGTTCAGGGTCTTCCACAAAAAAAGAACAGCAGTTATAGAACCAAACGTGGGGGGCGGGGGGTGGAAAACATGGATGACACCAAAGTCCTTCCTTACTATCTTTCCCATCACATGAGGGCACTTCCTTCTTGTTTGCATAATCTGACCTGGTCACTTGACATCATGTCAATAACAATTATCTGCAAACCATAGTTTGTTTATAAACATCCGTGTCACATGAGGCTAGATGTGACAAATTTTCTTTGTGCTTGGAATTTGCATTGGTTTAGTGAAACCAGTGTTGTCATAAATGGTCAAGTCTCCAGAACTGACAGAGCCTTCAGCTGTGAGTTTGGTCGTAATCAGAACTCTGAGCTAGGGACAAATTCGAAGGCTATGCCCATGTGTTCTGAAGTATTTGTTGAACAGGATAAAAACTTTCCATTTCTTGTAGCTCCCAAGAGCAGCTGCATTTGTGTTTCTGCCTGTTGCACAGCTGCTCATATTTGTCTCCTTAAGGCTTGTGGAATTCTGCTGTCCAGCTAAAGGGAAGATAGGGGTCTCCCTGTATGAAAACTTGATGGACCAGCGTACATAGTCTGAGTTGGGAGCACCTAGAACAGTCACTCTCAAGCATGCTGTAATTTAGGAGTAGGAGGTGGTAGAAGGAATAAGCAACTGAAGAATATAATGGTAAAAGTAAGCGTTCTTGCTCTTCATGTAGTACCGCCTTCACACAGTACCATTCCTTAAACATCTTGAGAGAAATGCTGGTCAGCAGTGAGGAAAAAAACAAATCTCAATTTTTCCCTGTCCCCCAACTTTGAGTTTAACAGTGGTTTTGCAAATTAGCCACAGCTTTGACCTAAAAAATACCTTCTAACCTAGATCTAAGTGTGCAGTGTTTAATTCCTAAAGGATCATGCTAAAAATTGGGTTGTGCTTTGTCAGGTTGCTATTCTTTTAGACATAAATTTAAGTTTTTCTCACAGATACTTCTCTTAATGCTCAAATTAAATGGGAGAGAAAACTAGAAATTAATTACTTGTTTCTTACAGATGGCACTTCAGTTTTCTGAAGTGTACAGATGTTTCCTCCTTGGCTTCTACTTCTACTTCTTAGTTTAGTATGTGTTGGATGTCTTCTCAGGATCACTTACCTCTGAGAGTACTCCAGATAACCAGCAAGAGACCAGAGCGGAGAGCAGAAGAGGAAGTGACATTTGTAAAAAAACTGCTTGATGGAGATAGAAAGCTCTCAAAGTTACAGCTCAAGATTGCAGTTTCTTCTGGCTGAAGTGGTTCACTTCAAATGGTAATTTTTTATTGTTGATTTTGGTGCTATTTATGCTCTGAGCTCACACCCAATAAAAGCTAGAATGGTAATCGTATATTTGCTTTTATCTTCAGTGCAGTAGTTATCTTCTGAATGCAAACTGGTGTAACAACTTCATGTTCTTGGCTGTTGGCAAAGCTGTTATCACATCTGAGGTGTTCTGTACATGGAAGGAGATGGAGAAAGTGGGGACCTTCTTCTACTGAGAACAGATGACCTGTGGAAAGAGGGCATTACCAGTTTTAAATCGATATCTTCACACTAATTTGGTGGGTGCATAGGTTTTTCATGTCAGGTTCTAGTGCATGTCTAACTTTGAACATAATAGAAGCCATAAAATGACCTCTCCCTGGCCTCCCCATATTTATTTTTTTTTGTCTCCTACCACTGTACTCATACTCATCACTTTTGGGCTATGGGGGAATTGTTTTAACACAACCTCATCTACCACTTTTCTGCCTTTCTCCCATTGCCTTTTTCTCCCATCCAGAGCAGCACAGAAACAAAAAATTATTTTTTTTTAGAAACTGCTCTACCATCCTCAGTTTCCCATGTTTGGGGATAAATTTTCTTTCTGCTTTATTGTGCTGAAGATTGATTCCTTGCATGACTGAAATGTAAGATGCCGCTATGTTTTGCTGGAGGAAGAGGAGATGCAGGGTGAGCTCCACTGGCCCCTCCACTCCAGAAGTTCTTGCAGGAACAGGTTCTGCTCATGCACCTGCATCTCCACACAGGCCGGCACAACTGCAGAGCCATGCTGATGAGAGCAGCATCTTGCACTCCGTGTGCCAGCAAATTATCAGTACAAATAACTGCCCTTCTCCCCCTTCCATCGTTTTGAATCTAGATCAGTCTGTGAGTCTGGCCCATTGTGCATCACACAAATGACTCTTCGGGCACAACTTGAAGGGGAGCTCAGGAGAGGGTCAGGAAGTTCTTAATCTCCAGTTTTTAGGTTAACCTTCTGTACTGGGTGTGGGTGGCCCTGTGCAGGACACACCTGGTTCCAGCCAGCTTTGCAATGGACCCACTGCAGGACACAGCTGAGTTGATCAGTGAAGCTGATGGCACTTTTGTGAAAGCATATTTAAGAAAGGGCAGAATGCTGCATGGCAAAGAGGAGTGAGGAAAAAAGTGAGAGAAACTCCTCTGAACACCAGGGTCATAGAAGAAGGAGAGGGAATAATTGCTTCAGGTGCTGGAGCAGATGTTTCCCTGCAGCCCACGGAAGACCCCATGCTGGAGCAGGTGGAGATTTCCTGAAGGAACTGCCATCCACTACAGGAGCCATGCAGGAGCAGGCTTACGCTGAAGGACCGCAGCCTGTGGAGAGGATCCATGGTGGAGCAGGGGAAAAGCATGAGGAGGATGGAGTGGTAGAAGGGAGCTGTTACAGACTGCAACCCTCTGTTCCCCTGTGCCCTCCGCTGCTTTGGGCAGGAGGGAAGTAGAAGGTGTGAAGTTGAGCCTGGGGAAAGAGGGGGCAGCATGAGGGGAAGGTGCTGTTTAAATTTGTATCTGTTTCTCACTATTTTAATCTATTTTAGTTGGCAATAAATTAATTTTCCTCACATTGAATCAAGTGCTTTAAATTTATATCTAGACTCAAGTCACAGTGGAAAATACTGATTTCTCTCTGATCACTGCAAGCCATTATTGTCTAATTTTTCAAGTAGGATACAAAATGGATCAAATTTTAATTTTTAAGAAGTCTTTTTGTGTGTAGGAAGGAGTGTACCTTGTTTGAATCAGGAGTTGCATTTTTGAATGTATTCTGGTTACGCCTTTCAAGTTCCACTTAGTCACCTTTTCGCTAGAGTAAATCTCAGCTGCGGAGTCAACTCAGGAACAGATCTAATCCATTACGTTTCTGCTGGAGCATACCAGCCATATTTTTACAAGTTTGAGCATGGGAGAATCATTCTAGTAAAGGGATGCTGCAGCAGTGGATTCTGCTTTATCTGCTTTGGTAGTGTTGTCCTTATAGATGTTAAGGATGCAGTATCTTCATGCCATTATATCTGGCTGTGCTTCAGAAGGGGGCAAAGTTTGGGGTGAGTGACATCTTTAGTGAAAGTACTGTTAATCCTGGGGAAAGAAATAAGCAAAGTCTGGGAAAGAGATTTATATTCCTGTGCTTTTCAGAGATGATTATCCTGAACGAGAAGGGAGCTTCCTTAGAAGGTAAGTTTTGTGTGTGGGTTCTTATACCACCTACCAAAGATATCTGGCACTGGCCACCAAGGGTATCTAGACAGGGTACTCTACGTGACATGACTCACTTAATGGTTTCTAATTGGGGCACTGTTTAGAATACAAAATTGATAGATAGCTACCTAGCATTAGCTAAATTAATCTTTGATTTCTTCCCCTCTCTCCACATCTTGCTGTGAAAGGAAGATTCTCTGTTAAAAAGAACATGGTGAACTGTTCGTTGTCTGTGCATGGAGAACACAAAGCTATCTGTGGTGGATAAAGAAGACTTCTTTGATAATAAATTAGATGAGCTTCAGGAAGGATTGCACGATCATTATAACTTCATCAAGTAATTTTTTCCAATGATATAACTCACTTTTAATTTTTGTCTTACTGTTTAGTTATTGTATAATCTATTCCATAAGCTTTCCTGGCTATGTCAAGGCCATAGAAGAAAGGCATATAACAGTTCTTTTCTCTTTAAGTTCTATGGAAGGGAAAGGAATTCCTCACTTTGCAGCTCTCAGGGGCAACCATGCTTGCTGCTCTGGAAGAATACATGATTATCCATGTTCCCTAGCTACCAAAAAAAATCTGCACTGAAGTACTTCATAAATTTGTGAGCTTAGATCAGGCAAAGTGAATTTGGCATCTTCAAAAAAAGGCAGGCAAACTACCCTGGAACCAAATTTATCATCTTCAGGATCTGTGGCCTAGGGTTTATCAGTTGCAATTGTAAGATCCATCAGTGTTTTCATAGAAAACATGGTTTTATTCAGCCCCTTCAATCTATGAAGAGTGTCTCCATTCCTTTTATTTCAGACTTGTGAACTTCTTTGCAAAATGATCTGAGAGATCACTAGTGAAATTAGTTAATAACTGCGAAATGGAAAAGTTTCACTGTGGACAGGTGGTAACAAAAGGTACTATAAAGTCAGCCAGCATAATTATCCCTAGGAAGGTAAGATCTTTCAGACATTAAATGCAGGCTAATACTTTTGGTGGTAAACTGACATTTAATCTGATCTTGCAAACAAAAATAGTGATTATAAGCCATTGCAGAAAGAACTGGGAAATAAATCACTTTGTAAAATACCAGTCTGTGGTGGTTTTGGTTTCTGTTGGCTTTGTCATGCCTCTACTTGGTGTTCAGCTCCTTTGAGTACCCCGTGTACAATCTGTTTTATCTGATCTCATATGTAGAGTAAGTTAAGTTAATAGTCAAGACATACGACATAATACACAAGTTCTTCATGGCAAGATATATATTTCATGTATTTTCTAACAGAAATAGTGTGTTTGAATATTGGTAATTACCAGAAGACATTTGAAAGAAACTTCACATGTTCTATATTCACTCTCTTATCTGTGTTTTGCTTTTGGAACTGAACTCCCATTCCTTTGTGAGCAGTTATTAGCAATGAAGCAACTGTTTTCAAATGAGCTATAGGTTTCTGACTGCAGCAGAAATTATTTCAGGTAGGGGAACTTGAGCCGTATTTAATTTTGGTTGGCCAGAATGTCTGAAGAGGCACTGGAGCCACCTTTGCACTCACAAAAACATTATCTTTTGAGCATAACATTATAAAGATCAACAAGGTTTCCAGAGAAGTTTGACTGGCATCATACACAAATGTAGTATGCTGTGAGGCGGCAGTGCTTCCTGCTTTGTTATGAGATGCCTAAAGTACTTTGTGTTTATTATTTAGAGTCTTGCTGCTGACAAACCAGCTGGATGATACAAAGAAGAGAGTCCACAATACATGTTTTGTTTAAACCCAGAAACAGATGCAACAGCTGGTATACTTTAATTTTTCCCAAAAGTAACTATCCTGAGATATTTGAGGAATAAAAAACTTCAGGTTTGTTTTTTTTTTTTTTACATCATTGTCTGGTGACAAAAGATAACGTTAAGTTTATTTGGAGGGTTTTCTAGGATTCAGGATCGAGTAGTGCTAATAATACTATATTTTGTTAATACTGCCATTTGGGCTTGCTTTCAGATTTCCAGTTGCCATAACTTAACTTCTTCAGGGGAGTTTTGTCCATACACTGAGTGGTCGTGCTGTCTCTGGGATGTGAAGTATTGTAGCCTTGTTTCCTAATTCAGTCAGAAGAGGTTTGTTTGCCATTACTTAGACAATTTACAGAAAGGTACAGTTGACTGTCTAGATAAAAACTAGTTTTGCAGAGATCGAATTATTTAGGGCTGATGAGAAGGCAACACTGGCTTCAGATGGTGAATTTGTACTGACAGTTTGAGGAAGGGAAGAATTTTTTGATGTTGTCATTGTTGAATCTTGGCATTCACCAAGGGCTGATACATGAAGAACTACTTCTGCTCAGCTCGGCAAGCATTTTATCTTCTTTACCCACAGAGTAAGAAGTGAACTATCATTATTGGCTAGCACTTACTCAGATTCCTTTTTGCTGTTTTCGAATGAATAACCATTCATTGGTTACACAGCCATATCTTTGGCTACATGAGGTGTGAAATTTCCCAACCAAATATTTTAGCTGCCTTCTCTGTGATAATGAGCTGTATCAGAAATTTCTAGAAGAGAAGCAGTGGAAAATATTGAAGAAAGACCTAACAAAGTCTGTATTACAAAGAAAATGTGCACTAAAAGTAACTCCCGCTTTTGAAAAGCCCACAGAACATGTTCTTAAATCCTGGAGCATGAACCAAGCTGGCATTCACAAATCTCCAAAACCCTCTCAGCAGCACCCACACAAGTTTGTTCCTGTTCACCCTGAGCAAGGAAAGGAGTGTTTAATTAAGCTACATACTCAGTTAAGGTTAACGGTAACTGAGTCATTTTACCACATCCCAGTTTAAATGGTTTGCTTGTCAGAGCAGTTTAAAAGCACAGATGCAGTCAAAAATTGAAACTCCATTTTTAAAACTAGAAATTGGAAAAATAAATCTGTGTTCAAATTTGTGGTTTCCCCTGTTTTGCTTTAGAAGGGAGACAGAGGGGAAATAATATTTGCTTGACTATTGCTACTTTCTTATGCCTGTCATCCTTCCAGGACTGCAACTGTGACACTTGGGTGTACATACTGTTTTTTTTTTCCAGTGATGGTTTACTTTTCATTATGATAAGGAAATGTGTCTACATTCTCAACCATTTTCACTCGAGTTTTCTTCTGTGGAGTAGACCTTTCAGTTGAAATACTGAGAGTCTTTTTAAGATTCCATGTTTGTATATCCATTGAATACAACTGGGAGTAAAACTGGATAAAACTCTTATCCCTCTTTCAGTTCAGGTGATAAGTTGTGTGATGTAATTACTATGATATTTAAGATATGTTGATTAATTACAGCTGTAATAAATGCTGTAATGTTGGTAAAAATTATGCTTCTGGGTATTTGGGAGGTTGATACTATTGAAACATGATAGTTGGAACCATAGCACTGTGTTCTGAATATTGTCAGGGTAAGCTGATTGACGTTTTCAGTGAAACATGAAATAAGGATTAGACATTTCTGGCAAGGTCTTGATTAGTCTCAAGGGTTATTTTTGTAGCATTGAACTTAAAGGTATGTAATCAAAGCATAAAGACATGCTCTTCCATTACATTAAATCTCTTGAGAAATTTTGAGACCTACTTAGACTTGCAACAGGTTTATCCTAGAGAAATGCCTGGTACCTTAGTGATATTCCAGAAGCATAATGATCCTGTAAAAAGTGATCCTATGAAAAGGAAGGTAGCTTGATAGAGATGATTAGTGGATATTTTCCTGGACTATATATGTGTGAGCTACTTGTGGAGGAGTCTTATGCATGAGGAATACAGGGCTGGAATTTTCCTATGCTTAGGTGGGAATCCGTCCATGACCTTGGCTGAGATTGGGCCACTTGACCTGTGGAGGCCCCCTCCAGGGCAAATGACTCTGTTCAGTCAATCTGTGTTGTCAAGAGTTGATAGAAAATAATCTGTCTGCGTGTAGAGTGCACTGGCAAGGTGGACAGAGTACTGTAGCTTCTGATTATTCCACATCTTTATTCTCCAATTAGTGCAAAAGTAATTTATTGCAGAGTATAAATTGCAAGCAGTGTGCTGTATTGTGCAAGGTATCTTGATGTAGGCTTTAGAGTTTTCCAGTTTATTTGACCCAATTTTATGCTTGAGCAATTAACACACTTCTAACATGCTGCTGTCTGAAGAGAAGAAACTTATCCTGAGAGATGTCTATTTAAATGTACCTAGAGAGATGCTGAAGTCCCTTACCTAGTAACTTTAAAGAAAAATTAGGTGAGGAACTTTAGGTGCCTGGGATATATAAACTGACATGAGATTCTGCAAGAAATTGGGGACCTAATTATTCACAAATTTTAGGCATTTGTAATGTAGATGCTTAAAGGTGCAAAAACACC